AGACGCTCAAAGAAGCATTTTTTTTATATTTAAAATAAGTTATATAAAGATGGAGCTGTTTACTTTTCAATACAAAGGTAAATAGTTGTTCTAGGTTCTTTAGGGTTATTAGAACTAAACATACATAACACACCTTTTTAACTTTTTTCATGTTTTTCTGCTCAGTTCACATTTATGTCTTAGTAAATAGCAAGTAGCAAAGTAGCATATACATTCAAGTAGTAAAGGTGGTGGAAATATACGGAGCCCTAGAGGGGTCATCGCAAAAAGTTTTGCATGTTGAGAGAATGTGCGCTCGTTTTACTACATTGTGCGCTCGTTTTACTACATTGTGCGCTCGTTTTACTACATTGTGCGCTCGTTTAACTATATTGTGTCCTCGTTTTACTAAATCGTGTGCACAATTTACTATATAGTGCTCTCGTTTTACTATAGTGTGAGCTCATTTTACTAAATTGAGCTCTCATTTTAAGCATAGTAAAACGAGGGCACAATTTATTATATAGTGCTCTCGTTTTACTATAGTGTGAGCTCATTTTACTAAATTGAGCTCTCATTTTAAGCATAATAAAACGAGGGCACAATTTATTAAACGAGTGCACTATTTACTCAAACGAGCGCACGATTTACTAAAACGAGGGCACAATTTATTAAAACGAGAGCACAATTTAGTGAACATGGTTATAGAATATTGTGTGCACGATATACTTAAACGTGGCAGCAATATGTAAAACGTGCACTCAATATTGTCTTGGCACATGTAAACATGAGCACGTTATAGTATATTCGAGATCTCGATCTACTAAAACGCACCCACGAGTAATTAAAACGTGCGCTCGAATAAATTGTGTGCACAAAAAGGCTATAGTAATCAATCCAGAAGATAGTGGAAACTCCTGGTCGAATAGATTACATTTCCGTTTCGTAGCCTTTGAGATGGATCTGGTCAGGATATACCATGGTTTGAGCATGGCATATAAGGAAATATTGAGAACTCTAGCCACCCAGCATGGGATGGTTATGAGTTTAAGCACATTAAAAAGGATGCTGAGGGCGAACCGTCTCCGCCGTCGTGAGTATGACGATTTAGGTCATATTATAGAGTTCATTTTGAACGAACTCCAAGGCTCTGGGAGGTTACATGGGTACCGCTGGATGTACTATAAATGTATAGAACATGGTTTGCGCGTGAGAAAAGAAGATGTGCGCATCATTCTCAGCGCAGTTGACCCTGAAAGCGCTCAGTCCCGCCGCAGACGACGACTGAGACGCAGACAATACTTTTCCCGTGGGCCTAATTTCATATGGCACATCGATTCTTATGACAAGCTCAAGCCTTAGGCATATGCATAAATGGTTGCATTGATGGATATAGCAGAAAGATTATTTGGCTCAGGGCCGCCTTTACAAATAGTGATCCATGTGTGGTTGGGGGCTACTATGCAGAGGCGATAGAAAGGATGGGGGGCTGTCCCAGACTTTTGCGCACTGACATGGGAACCGAGAATGTGGTCTTGAGAGACATGCAGGTGTACTTGAGACGGAATGATGAAGACAATAGAGCAGGACAATCAAGTTTTTTAACAGGAGAAAGCACTGCTAACCAAAGAATAGAAAGTTGGTGGGGAGTGATGAGAAGACAAGGAATTGAACACTGGATCCAGATGTTTAGCGAGCTGAAGGATGAAGGTCTTTTCACAGGGGACTATCTGGACAAGGCGTTAATCCAGCTGTGTTTCATGGGACCCATTAAGGTAAGTAGGCTAATGAATGCACAGTAATATATTAGATAACCTCTGATATAAATAAAGAGAGGGACGGAATAGCCTAGAGATATAGAGCATCTTCATTGTTTGTAAAGGAAAGTTTTCACCGTCCGAAGTGATTTTGTTTTACTGCGCATCTTAAATACATATTAAAACTACTTTACTCCCACTGATCACAGCAAATATAGCTGCAAGATTTATATTCTTTAGATGAAAAACGGTTGATGCGGCGCGTCCAGCAGCAAAACTTCAATTTTTCCATCTCTCGCTGCAGCAGCGCGTTCACATCAGCTGTGAGATGGGCACGCATGGAGTCAGATTAACAGCGATTGTGATGAGTGAAAAAAAAAACCACCTGGTCTCCTCACATAGACCTCCCTCAGCCACTCTTTCATCATCTCCTCAATGAGGTGGTCTCAAAAGTCGCAGTTACAACACACATAGGGCGCACCGCACATTTTGAGGGGAAAATATTAGGGTGACTAAACGTCCGTATTTCCCGGGACATATCCGTATTTCACGTCCTGTCCCGGGTTTTTTTTTTTTTAGAAAGTAAGGAAATGTCCTGATTTCACTGCGCACAACGCTCCGTGTGACGTAATCCCTGAGCCGCGTCAGTGCGGGCAGCCCTGCTCTTAATCAGAGGCTCTGTTCGAAAACCTGGGCTGCATCCTCCAAGGACGCGGTCTACCTAGACTGGATCCTTTGAAGTCCTTGAAAATAAGGAGACTGGAAGAGTTTTGGCTGTAAATTCTAACAGGTCCACCCTTCGGCGGGTTTTACCGGCGTATGTTCTGTTGCTTAGCAACCGTGAAAGGTGACACACAAAGCAGGAAAAGAATGAATACCGAGCTTTTCAAAACTGTTTGTTTATTTATTTATTTTTTAAAAAGTTAAATTGAACAAAGACTACACTCACAAGAATCCAGAGTGGAATAAAGGTTCCAACCACCGGGAGCAGGAACAAATCAAATCAAATGTAATGATAGAAACCTTAGTCAGTTAAATAACCTGCTGCTGTCATTCTGCACATCTCTGATGTTGCTGCTATTTTCAAATATCCATTACTGTAAAAATGTCCATAGTTGCATATTGGTTATTTATTCTCCAGTTTTATATTGTTAAAACACTTTACAGAATTTTATTTTTTATATTTTAACCCTTCCCTATTATGTTATTCTTATACATTTTTCTAAGGTCCTCATTTGTGTGACGTAGAGAGATATAACTAAATCTAAACAATGTATCTACAAAATGTATCTGCAAAATCTCTAATATTCAACAACAAAAAATACTTAGTTAAGCATATTGTGCAAAACAATAAAAAAATTAAACTATCAGATTTATAGTTCCCACTCTGCAGATTTCTTAGAATGTGTCCTTAAATTACAGCCAAACCCATTTACACAGTAACAGATAAAAACCTTTAGATAAACCAAACATTACCGCCACATATCTGACTCTATAACCATTAAAACAACTAGTAACAAGTAACATTTCCTCTCATCACGGAGCAAATCCCGATGATGAGACATTTGTTCTTTCAATCAAACCCCCCGCTCCAAGGTGTCCTGGTTTTCCCAAATGAAAATATGGTCACCCTAGTTGATGTGCGCCTTATAGTTGTGAAAATACGGCACATTTCTTTCATCCAAACATTTTTCTTGGGATTCTAAATATCACTGACCTATGTATATTTCCTTTTTTCAGGACGAGTTAAACAGCATCATGAACATCTGGAACGCACATCGCATCCGCCCCTCTACAAACGCGAGTGTGCCGTCTGGCATACCTGATCTGATGTATGTGGCATCACATTTGTGGGGAGCTGATGATCTTCTCGTGCCTGTTAATGCAAACGATTTGCTGTATGTAAGGAAAATGCACTTTTTTAAGTTCTTTCCATCGATCCTGAAATATTTGTTTTTGGGCGAAATTGATGTTGGGGGGGGATTGGGGTTTTTTCAAACTTCCACAGGCACGGGAATTGTACATTCTTTGGGGGGACTTTGTTCGCCCCACTACAAATTAGTAGGGGGTGTAAAAGAGACAAACATCTCTTTCACCGGTTTACAGAAATCTAAAAGAAAATTACCCTAGGATCTGAATCTATTTATTTTGAACACATAATGTACCCCCCAGCTTAAATACGTAAAAAAAAGCACAGTACCATAAAAAGACTTCTGCAAAAAAACATTTATTTTTTAAAAAAACCCCCTGCTTTTCAGTTGAAAAGTAACAGTTCCTCACCATGACAAGGGAAAACGGGCAACTAAATAATAAAGAACCCCTGTTAAAAATGTTTGCTTTTAAATTGAAAAAAACATCTGCCCATATGTAAAACATTGACATGTTCAAAAAAAAAAAAAAAAATTTTTTGGCATAAAAAAAAAATAAGATTTGTTGTTTTTTTACTAGAAAAACCTGTAATGTGTTATTCCAATGCTTGTTTTAAACACTTGGCAAGAACTTAAAAAAGTTGACACCTGTTTTATCCAGAATGTTTAAAAAATGTGTCATTCAAAAAAAAAAATTTGTTTTGCAATTTATTTTTCTTTTATATTTAACAAATAAATAACCTAGTTATTTATTTTCAAAAGTTACCAACTTGTACCTTTTTTGGACTGGCATTTTTTTCAAAAGCAAACCAAATATGAGAACTGCAAACTGACATTATGACTGATGAGACAACTACATATATCCATTACCACACAGAACATCACAACTATTAAAATCATACCTGGGTCGGGAAAATTGTAGAAAACCCCAAAAGGAAATTTTAAAAAAGGCACCCACATGTGTGAGCCTGAGGCCTGGCGAAAATCAATGTTTCAGTAAACTCAACCTTAATGGAATGCCCCCCCAAAATTTGGCCATGCAAAACCTCGGGGAATTTTTTGTAAATTTGATGGTCAGCTTTCCCAAAATGTAACGTTTTCAGGGGGGGCGACAACGCAGCTTTTTTCGGTATCACATCGGGAAACGGGAGAAGCTCCTTCACGGCCTTCGAATTGTTGTTTTTTGCTCTAACATTTTTTATGCATCATCGATGGGGAGAGTGGGGGCAAAGGGGTATCAACTACGGGGCGCCCAGCTTTCCTGATGTACTTGGTGTTTGGGACTATAGACTTATCCCCAAATTTGTGAGAGAATGGGCCAAGAATTTCTTTTTTGGCACCTGTGACCCCGGGGACATAAAGGAGATCAAGCGGTCCCTTTTTCGACTAATCAATGTCATCCAAGGCCCTGAAAAAGAATCTGTCTCCCCCTGATCTGAACTCTTAGAAATCCATCCTTGAGCTGCAAAATGCGCCCCATACAGCACCTCCTCCGGGAAGGGGCTGCTAGCTGCACTGGGAAGTACCCAGCACGTTTCCATCCCAAAACAAGCACCCTAGCAACAGCCTTCCATTCTTCAATTTGAAAATCGTGCCTGATAAAAGGCACTTTGGCATCACGGCCCATTGTGTATCTCCCATAGAACTCTGTCCAGAATTCTGTGATGCAATCACGGAGCAATCCTATCCCTTCTCCCTCTTCAAGCTGACCATTAGGCAATCGCATCTTAATGTAGATCTCTGACTCTAAAACAAGAGGATCTTTAAATGCCTTGATAAGATCAGCGAGACAGTGTCCTCTACGTATGATTAACGTGACACTGGGCACATGGTCACTGTCTGACTCAGGGAAAGAGTCTGCAACAGGAGGCTGCAACATCCAAGAGTCTTGGGGAGGAGATTCAGTAGTGGTCAGGTCAAAAACTGAGGAATACACAGAATTACATGGCAAGGATTCACTGGCTGTTGAAGAGATAGTGTGCAGTAGGCCTATTCCTGCAACTGTGGGTTCCACCCCTGTAACTAATGGTTGGCTTAAAGGCGGTTTAGGATCACTGACAGGCTGTGCCAATGGAGATGAATCAGCAGGGGTCATATTATCTACAACAAGAGACACTGTAACAGGGGAAGCTTCATTTCCTGCTAATGTGTACTGGCCAGTCCAAACCACTGTGTCGTCCATGTTATTGTCTGTGGGAATCTCGATGTTGACAACATAGTCGTCATCTGGTTCTGGTAAGTACTGCCTGACTTCAAAAGAACTTTCAGCAACATCTGCAACTGAAGTTGAGCTCTGCGGGGTTTTGGGATGGATGTCTTCTTCTATCTGTACATCCCTTAACTTGGTGCAGAGATACAGTCGTAGTATTCGAACACGACTGAGGTTGTACAGTTGCTCAATAGTGCTTGATATCTCCACTTCAATCTGTGACGACTGAATTTCAGAATGGTAACATGAGAGCTTTTTGTTCTTTGATGCCCCATCTGGAAAAAAAATATTTTCTGCCATGACCCTTACTTCCTCCACTGTTAGGTTTTTATCAATGGTCAAATGTCTGGTTCCTCCACCTTTAATGGCCTTCACCTGCTTGTACTGCTGTTGCTTAGAATCAAAATCCATCCATCCTAATTCAATCCGCCTCTCTCTTTTTTCTGCATTCTTATTCCCAATCCAAGTTGAATTTTTTGAAGGCTTCACACCTGGTGCTGATAGTCTTCGGCGCAGTCGAGTCAGTATATGGTCTCTTCTTGAATTACTGGTTGTGCTGGATCGCCTACAAAAGGCCACCACAGCTATTCGGTCCCCTGATTTAGGAATGTACTCTGCCAAGTCACCATCACTCATTAGTGGTATCACAGATGGATCAATCTGTGAGAAAGAACAGAACATGGAAGAAGAATGTTAGCATTGAATATTAACTAATAAATCATAGCTTCAGATGCTACTTCAACATTTTGGTTATCAGCACAGCTGACCGGACAAAACAACCAGTCCTGTTGTCAGGCTATAGCCTACAACTCCAAATCAGGAAAAAATTGGGACGTTGTGAAATGCGAATAAAAACAAAATGTAATATTCTGCAAATATAAGGTCATCTTTAGCTGCAAAATGGGCACAGACATGTTGAAAATGACAAATTTGACCATTTCATTGGAAAATATATGTTAATTGTGAATTTGATACCAGCAACGCGTTTCCAAAAAAGTTGGGATGGGGGCAATCAAATGCTGAAAAAGTTGTGTAATGATAAAGAAAACATAAGGAGGAATATTTCACAACTAATTAGGGTTAGGGTAAAGTCACACGTCGTTATCACTTGGTCCTATTTTCTCTCTGTTCGTATCAGTGCACGCCGTCATTCAGACAGCTAGGGCCTACTAACCTGACAACAGCCAGATGCATGTCTCCCTCCGCCCAGCTAGGAGCTAGGCGGAGGGAGACATGCATCTGGCTGTTGTTGAGCTCGCTGTCTGAATGACGGCGCGCACTGATACGAACAGAGAGAAAATAGGACCAAGTGATAACGACGTGTGACTTTCCACTACAACGTTTTTGGGATGCAAAAATATCACTCTTTTGAACACATAATGTTTTGGGAAGAGAAACGTTTTATTTCGCTGGGTCTAGCAAACCTGCCGGACTACTTTCGGCTTGACCAAAACTGAGAACTCTGCTCACAGGACGCTGCCAGGGGTAAGTCAGTGTGATTGCATGACACTGGTGATGGGGATGCCATAAAGATTCATGTCAAAAATACCGAACTATCCCTTTAATATGTTTAGACCGGCCAGTGATGATTCAAAAAAAAAAAAAAAAAATATTGTTGGACAGACGTTTAAAAATTGACTTCAAACATTTAATCTCATGAATTTGGGCTTTCACTGCCATCTGCTGTCGTATGAGAGTAACTACAACTTGCCGACCATAAGCTTTTTCATATTTCTTGTCATTTTAAACATGAAACTACACACACACACACACACACACACATATATATATAATGTCACATTTACTTGATGGAACGGAGTACTTTATCTGCCAATAAGTCGCCTCTGCCGGCAGCAGCCACCATCGGCCTCTCCGATGGCAAGCTCTGCCGGCAGCAGCCGCAGTGGCGGATCTAGACCAAATGCACCAGGGAGCCAGGAGGGGGCCAGCGTGTTTTAATGGGGGCACAGAAAAGCATGAAATAAAAAACAGGGCAAGGGATTTAAATATATTAAGAGAGCTGTATGAAGTGAAATTTCTTTTCAATTAGGTTCAATAAAAATTGTATTTCTTATGAGGTCAATATACATTCATAATTTAGGAATTTTACATATTTATTAAATCTGATTTAGTACCTTTTTTTATTTGTTTTGAAAAAAAACATTTAGCAGATGAAAAATGGGATCCTATCTCAATACGACTGAAGCTATCACCTTACTGTTTTTAAATAATTAGTAAAGGAAAAAAATGAAATAGATCCAAAGGACCCATTAGTAACCAAGTCTGTTCCAGCGCATATCATCATTATAATTTCTTATAAGCATTATTTCTTCAGTACAGGGGCCAGGACATGATTTACAGGGGCACTGGCTCCCATTGGCCCCTGCCTAGAACCGCCCATGAGCAGCCACAATCAGCCTCTCCGATGGCAGCATCTGCCGGCAGCGGGCACCACCGTTGGCAGCATATTGGCAGCGACCACCATGATGACAGTCCGGCTGTCATGCCAGTAGGCTTCCCGAGCGACTCCCAGGTTTACTGACACCGTTTTGGTGGCTGCAGCAGCCGGTTTTTGTTAAATAACTTAATAATACCTTATTAATTAATGCATTTATTTATTTATTATTTTTTGTTCTTGCCTTTTTTTGGCAAATAACTTATTTATAGTAACTCTAAGTAAAAGGTTTTTCTTTTAAATAAGTGATGTTATTGTAATGTATCCTGCATTAAGCTCCCAGTGTGTGTGTGTATATATATATATATATATATATATATATACATATATATATCAAAATATTTCAGCACATGAATTTCTCAGTACTTGATAGTTTTAGAACATAACATAAAAGGATATGGCATTTGACATTTTAAAAGTTTTAAGCCCCTGTTGTGCGAAAACGTGCTTTTCTCTGGATTAAAGGAATAGTACACCCAAAACATGATTAGCCTTCATTTTCTACTCACCCCCATGCTGAACAACACTCTGGAGTACTTTTTTGATATCTCAAATGCATCTGGAGATCTGGGAGGCTTCTTGCTGTCTGCTGACATTCAAATAATGGAGGTCCATGGCGCCCGAGGTAGAAAGGTCCATAAAAGTCCACAAAAAACGTTTCAATATTCCTCCATACTGCTCGTCCAATGTATTCCAAGTTTCCTGAGTGGGTAGCATCCAGAATTTACTCGAAACGAAGTCATTTAGAATGTTTTTAGAGCATAAACAGTAGTGTATAGGATTTCCTGAAAGCGCGCACATGCGCGCTCACGACGCTACGGAAGCCGGCAGACCAAACCAGCGCATTCAGCTCGGCAAAGAACTCATGCTCTTCCTCAACACTGAAGTCCTCAGACATTTTTCTTTCGTTGTTTCTTTCTTTGCACAGGTAAACGGCACATTTCTTCTTCTACGCTTGCATTATTGGAAGAGCAGACGCTGAATGCGCACTTTCATCTGGTTTGGTCTGCCGGCTTCCGTAGCGTCGTAATCGCGCATGTGCGCGCTTTCAGGAAATCCTATACACTACTGTTTATGCTCTAAAAACATTCTAAATGACTTTGTTTCGAGTAAATTCTGGATGCTACCCACTCAGGACACTTGGAATACATTGGACGACCAGTATGGAGGAATATTGACACGTTTTTTGTGGACTTTTATGGACCTTTCTGCCTCGGGCGCCATGGACCTCCATTATTTGAATCTCAGCAGACAGCAAGAAGCCTCCCAGATCTCCAGATGCATTTGAGATATCAAAAAAGTACTCCAGAGTGTTGTTCAGCATGGGGGTGAGTAGAAAATGAAGGCTAATCATGTTTTGGGTGTACTATTCCTTTAAACGGTCCTGACATGCAGATACACACAGTTGCATTATAATATAGGCCTAATTAAAGATTCGAAAGCTTAACGTTTGTCACATAACGGCAGTTACGTGATAGACATGTTTCTATACTCGGTCTGATGACTTTGTGTAGCCCTGACATTGGAGACTACACTACAATAAATATGATTTACTGGAGGGTTTTCAATAAAGATATGATAACTTTTGCAACGATCCTCGTGACTCTGCATTGTGTTTTTTTCTGATCTGGCCGTATATAGCACGAGTTTCCCATGTTTCTATGTGTTTTTGCAGTTTTCAATCGGTTTTCACCTGTCAAAAATTGATTGAAGGCACAGTATAGTCACTCAAAGGTTATTTCTGCCCAAATATGACTTGATTTCATTCAGAACCTCCATAATTTAGAGATCTGAGCTCACAAAACAGCTTGGAACTCTTTTAACGGACCATTACAACACAAAATAGCCATTTTGACTTGCAAAAAATGTATTAAAGCCCAAATACTGTCATTCAAAGGGGAAATCTGCCCAAATATGACTTGATTTCTTTCAGAAGCATCTTATTTTAAATAGAACAAGTCCTTTTTAGGCAAAAATCACTTTTCTTCAAACACATTTGGCCTTTAATCAATTTCTAGCAGGGCGTTTTGACCTCAGCCGACTTGCTAGAAACTGATTAAAGCCCAAATACTCTCATTTAAAGGCCTGCCAGTAGCATGTGTTGCTATTGTCCCTCTGATATGTAAATAGTTATATCTTTGTTTTTCAAATTTTCATATTTCATGTTCATTCATTTGTCTATATAAATCTCTTTAGATTAAAAGAAATACAATTATTTTGCACCAACACTTATGAATTGACTTTTTTTTCTTGGCATTTCTATGGCAGTAAAGTAGTATTTTTAAGAGATTGAACAACTTCTTGATTTCATGCCATTTCCCAGCATTTCTTGAAATGAAATCATATAAGAAAAAGCCATTTTGCAAGTCAAAATGGCTTTTTAGTGTGGTATGGTAGAGTTCCAAGCTATTTTGTGAGCTCAGATCTCTAAATTATGGAGGTTCTGAATGAAATCAAGTCATATTTGGGCAGATATCCCCTTTAAATGAAAGTATTTGGGCTTTAATCAGTTTCTAGCAAGTCGGCTGAGGTCAAAACACCCTGCTAGAAATTGATTAAAGGCCAAATGTGGTTGAAGAAAGGTGATTTTTGCCTAAAAAGGACTTGTTCTATTTAAAATAAGATGCTTCTGAATGAAATCAAGTCATATTTGGGCAGATATCCCCTTTGAGTGACAGTATTTGGGCTTTAATACATTTTTTGCAAGTCAAAATGGCTATTTTGTGTTGTAATGGTCCTTTAAAAGAGTTCCAAGCTGTTTTGTGAGCTCAGATCTTTAAATCATGCATCTCCTGAAGGAAATCTAGTCATATTTAGGTAGAAATAACCTTTGAGTGACTATACTGTGCCTTCAATCAATTTTTGACAGGTGAAAACCGATTGAAAACTGCAAAAACACATAGAAACATGGGAAACTCGTGCTATATACGGCCAGATCAGATAAAAAACACAATGCAGAGTCACGAGGATCGTTGCAAAAGTTGTCATATCTTTATTGAAAACCCTCCAGTAAATCATATTTATTGTAGTGTAGTCTCCAATGTCAGGGCTACACAAAGTCATCAGACCGAGTATAGAAACATGTCTATCACGTAACTGCCGCTATGTGACAAACGTTAAGCTTTCGAATCTTTAATTAGGCCTATATTATAATTTAATTAGGCCTATATTATAAAGCAACTGTGTGTATCTGCATGTCAGGACCGTTTAATCCAGAGAAAAGCAGGTTTACGCTATCGCTCAGCAGGCTGCGGTGCGCGCTCCCGCGAGCGTAATCAGATTCTCGCAGACATTCACTTTTTCGCACAACACCCCCCCTGAACATGAGAAAATCCTCGTTATTCGATGCTGTAGCGCACATATTCCCTAGTTACTGGGGGGAAATATGGAGTACCAATAGGGCAGCTGGTGGCTTCAAAGCAACTCGTTCTAACAGCTGGCGATTAGCACTCCAACGTATAATATAGCTCATTGCATCCCCTCTCTGCATGGCTTTGGATGAGGTTCATGCACTAAAATAGGCTATCATAGGCTACTGTAATGGCATAAACATGTTGCATTGATCTACGTTAACACTGCAAACGACATGACATCAACGAAACACATTAGCAGGGTTAGCCTATTTCTAACCCAGTCAGTCAGACCACCTGTTACTCGAATACAAATAACATTAATGAAGTTAAACATATTCTTGCAGCCCACATCACATAGCCTACCTTTTCGTTTTCGAGTTTCTGAATAAACTCTTCGCTGACACCTCTATCTTTCAAGAAGTCCCTCAGGCTATCAGCAGTCGGCTCCATAGCTGGCGGGACACCACAGGTGACCCTGCTACAAAGAGTAAAAGTTCGCTATCGTCATCACCTACCGATGAAAACTAAAAAGGCTTTAATTAACCACGGTATCACTTACCAATGTTGAACTGTAATGTTGCAGACAATAGCCGAATCTCAACAGCTTGAGTAACAGAAGTTACGACAGGCAGCAGCGGTGAGAGCATGTCGGAAATGACTAAATGTGAGCGAGATTTAGGACTCAATTAAAAGAAAATGTGCTCACGTTTTATTAATTCGAGTGCTCAATTAAATGAAAACGTGTTCACGTTTTATCAATTCGAGTGCTCAATTAAATGAAAACGTGGTCACGTTTTATCAATTCGAGGGCTCAATTAAAATAAAACGTGCTCACGTTTTATTAATTCGAGGACTCAATTAAAATAAAACGTGCTCACGTTTTATTAATTCGAGTGCTCAATTAAATGAAAACGTGGTCACGTTTTATTAATTCGAGGGCTCAATTAAAGGAAACGTGCTCACAAATTATCACGACCTGAAAATAAATATAACTTAAAGTGAGCTCTCCCGGGCTCCGTAGAAATATGAGATTTTGGCTGACATATTTCGTCCTATGTTGCACAATAATAATAAAGCTTCTTCTACTTATCGCATACCTTTAAACCATGCTGCAGATTTTGTCGATGTAATTGTAAAATTTTACAATTTATACATTTCCATATCACTTCAAAAATTCTTATATTAACATAACAATTTCCAGTATTGAAATTTCCTTTTGAAACGCCTAATTTATCTTAAAAGGATTTAAAACGCAAAAATGTTTTGACGAGCTGTGGACGATGATCAAAGATTCGGCACATCCTGTCCGGTTAAAGAAGAAAGGAGATTTTGTTACCAGGGAAACTGGGGGAAGGTCAACGGCTAAATTCACTTTAAAAGACTGATATCTTCAGAGGAGATAAACTCTGAAGTTTTCTCTCTCTCTCTACAGATAAATTTACAGACCACTGCACAGCCGGGGATGTGGATATCTGTCTACCAAAAACCTATCTTCCCATCAGCTCTAAGAGGTACAGCTGGGATTAAGAGGAGTTCAGGGAGCTTTAGAGAAGGTTTGTCAGCTGGTAGAAAAAACTCCAAAATCCTCCTTTTAAAAAACTCTTTCAGCACCGAGTGAGTCAGATGCATCATTATTTCAGCCCATTCTTTTCTGCTATCTTTTCTTTTTAATTTAAAAAAGTAGTTTTCCTTGTTGCCAACTTTTACAATTTGTATATGAGGTGGGAGACTTCTATTTTTTAATTCTTCTGATCAGAGCCTAAGCTCTACTAGAAAATATTTTTGACTTTATTATCAGTAAAGGTCTAAACATTTCCAAGGTCCCTCTGACTTATGTCTCGATTTTTGCTATCTTTAAAAGCTTGAATACCCAAAGAGATACTCCACTAAGATCTGCAATGAAAGTGTAATACATTGAGTAGGTGTTTAACTATTTGTTAGTGGATATACAAAAAAGGATTATTCTGAATATAACTGTGTGTAATATATATACAGGGATTATTGCGTATGATGATTTCTTATTATTTAGTTCTGAAAAATCACCTGGAGCACAGAACTGAGGGAACATAAATAATTGAGTTGGTTTTGCCATAATGAATGTGACACAAGAGGCGTCCATGGAATAATGTTATTTTTCTTGTTGGATCTTGCTAGTATGCTCTGAGGACCATTGATGAACAATGTTTTCATTTATGAAATGATATTTGCTTTGGGTTGAATGGATCTCTGCAAAATAAAACTGGACTTTTTTTTCTTTTAACTTGTTTAATTGGGGTTTTGTTTGTGGGTTTGTGTGTGTGTGTGTGTGTGTGTGTGTGTTGTCTTGTTTTACCTACAATGTGAGGGAAGTATTTTGTCAAATATCCTACATGCGGGGACTTACAGGTACATATGGGGAAATTCAACTGGTCCCCATATGGTAAAGTTTTGTTCTTTGAGTTGGGGTTAGGTTTAGGACTAATGGTTGAATTCAGGTTTAGGCTAGGGTTAGATATATGTTGGTAATAGTTAGGGTTAGGATAAGGGTCTGGGTTAGGCTGAAAGTCAATGGAATGGCCCCTAAAGATAGTGAGACAAGTAGTGGGGGTTACACACATGATCCACTAGAAACCGGATCGTCTGGAAATTGCTCAGTATTTACAAACTAAAGCATATATCTAAATAAACTTGAGTCACATACAGTATTTGCAAAATTATTTCATAGGTGGAAAAAAAAGAAAAAAACAAAGGATAGTAAGGTGGAGGAAAATGCTTGGCCAAGAGGTCTTTTATTTATTTTTCACGGACTTTGCAAAACTAGTGGGGTGAGTAGGATCCCTTTGTACACCACTAGGTGATATGTTCTTTAAAGTTTAATACATGCCTACAAATTTGTATTTTTTTTTTATATTACACCACCACCAGATAGTCTAATAACTGAAGAATATTGCATTATAGAACTATAAAGCTCAGGCATAAAAGGAAAATAAATTCAAAATCAGTGTTTAAGTTTGTATGAATAATTAATCACAAGGACCAACTGCTTGATCCAGAAGCTCCTCAATCTCATTTTAATGAGATAGCAAAACTGCAAATAAAGTAATGCTTTGAACATAAGATAGTTATTTGATCAACCATGCTTCTCTGCCCTGTCTGGGTGAACATAATCAAAGCTAAAAGCATCTTTAGCTGTGTTAGAGATCATTTGTTATTCATGTCTGTGCTTTAAAGACATCCTCCATGTTGTGTGTGGCGTTAAATGAATGAAACTGTTTGTGAGGCTGTGAGAAATGTGTTTTTTCGTCGTTGCTGTCATGGGATTTGGGTGTTTGAGAGTTAAGAAGATGATTCAACTGATGCAGCCTTTGATGATGGGAAATGAGTCAAATGTCAGGCTGAGAGATGATAGCAATATGTAGAAACACGGAAGAAAGAAAAGAGAACCAATGGGACACTGGGAAGTCTGTGCAGTGACTGTTTTAGACTCAAAAGTTTTACGGTATTTTTTTTTAACTGCACTTAGTTGCAAATCACAATCATGATAATTTGTAGTCGTCTTTATTGTTTTCCCTTTGTGATGATTCCTTCCATAGGCAGAAAGATGGACCTCACACAGGTTTACACTGAACCTATGGATCTTTCTTTACTAATATGAGAAACAAAGTGTGCTTTTATTTGTTTATTGCTGTCGTAATGTCATCCTTTGCGTAAGTTAAAAGTAAAACATACTTTCACTGAGATCTATTATTTCAAAAAGGTCCTGAGTCAATGCACTGTAAAAAAAATAAATAAATAAGGCCTTTGGAGAAGAAACAGATCCTTCAGTTATGGGCTTTTCTGCATATTGAAACATTATTTTCACTCCAGCCCCTCAATGAGTTTTGGCAGCTGAACAGGTCAATTTAAGTCTGTTGAGGATATAGGAGACATTATCAGTTGTTTAACACATTTGATCTATTTAGCTACATTTTAGGATGTCCTGTGGGGCAGAAATGTTTTTTATTATGGCATTTCCTTAAAAAAAACGGCAGAGGAGGGCATTTACTGCACCTATGAATAACTTATTTGCAAGGAATGTTCTCATGTCTTTTTTCTCTGTTTTGAAGTTTGACTTGGAGAAAATATCTCTGTAGCATCATATTTAGACTCAAACGTAAGTCTTTCATTATTAATTGGAAGTTGCAAGAGACTATGAGCAAAATGGAAAGTTTTCCTCCAATGACTGAATGTACTAAAATTGATGAAAGCTGTTTTTTTCTAGATATTTCATTGACTTAATTCTATTCTCACTACATTTATTTTAAGCCACATTTTGTTTTTTTGTTTTAATAGAATTGCCGGTGAATGTAGAGGATACTGCACATTCTTAGAAGCATTTCTTACAGGTATTTTCTAGTAGAAAAGAAACCACTATTTAGCATTTTTCCTTTGGATAAACTTTACATGCACAAGTGCACTCTAACAAACAACTACAGGTGCTTTGTTCCAGGTACTCAGAGATTCACTTCCATACAGAAAGCCCATATTCTTATCTTCAGCTACAACAGTTTACATGTCAGATTAAATAATACTACTTATACTTCAGTGATAGTATCAAAGTGTTACTTTATTTGTATTTTTTATACTATATCCGTTGGTTGTGCTGTTCTTTTTACATCTCTTTGCAGGTGATGAAGCAGACTGAAGATGTTTTATCGTAATCCTCCTTTTATCTCCTCTTTCTTTCATATTTTCTCCCTTTTTGCTGTTTTTCTTTCCCTGTTCTACTTACATTGCAGTGTCCATATAATCTGTAATTGTCCCTGCATGAAGTATAATAAAGCAATTTATATGCATATATCACGTGGTACACTATGGCGATAGCTGTACTGTTCCACTTGTGAAAGTAAAATCTGTTGGGCTCTTGTTTTTGGCATCAAGACAACTATTCTTATTGGAACATCGCCAGACAGGACACTGTTATAAAAAAAAAAGTTATTTTCTTTTATTTGTCTGACTGCAGGCTGTACAGTGAGTGGAGCAGTTTGCTGCAGTTCGATTTCCGGCCTGGGTTCTCTCTGCATGGAATTTGCTTGTTCTTCCCTGTCCTCCTGCCGTCCAAAAACTGTTGGATTCATTGGCTTCTCTAAATTGTCTTAGGTGTGTATTTATAGTTGTATGTCTCTGTGTTGACCTGTAACAGACTGGCCAGCTGTCCAAAAGTCCCCCATGGTCCGCTGCAGATTGGCACTGGCCTCACTGTAACCCTGTCTGAATAAGTGAGAGAAGATGGATAGATGTTTAACTGCTTTGAAATATTTAGAGTCGGAAACAAGATGTTTGAATAAACTTGCTTTAAAACCTGCTAGAATTTGATTCAGTCAATTTCTTTTCAGTAAATCTGAAGGAGCCCCAAACCTGACAACCAGTATCCCAACAGTGTTTAACTAATTTCTAGATTTCATAAATGCTCTAAGTTTTGTGCCTGATTTAATCCCTGACTAACACCTACAAGTTCTTCTTTGTTGATTCCTCTGGTCTTGTTGGTAGGGGGGCTGATCATACCTGCTGCACAAGATTCTGTTCTTTTGTTAACAAGATTTTCCTGTTGCCCCTGCATTCAAAGTCTTCTTACTTTTATCTTTTTCTTTCATCTGTTGGTTTGATTGTTTAGCAGTCAGAGATAAAAGCAACCTCAACAACATTGTTAAGTGTCCCAGATTTACTGGTGTTTGTCTAAGAGATCTGGCCTCACTGGCAGAGCAGCTGGTCAGATCGTATACTTGATCAGAGGCATGTCTTATGAGTTTTTTTAATGCTCTCAGGTCAGCGTTATTGCCTACAGTCAAAACTGATAATTATTTTATTGATACCTTCTGCAAAAAGTTCCTAAATGTAAGCATTGTTTTCATTTTTGACCGTTGTGTGTCGGCTGTTGCAGCTTTGTGTGTCCGACCGAGTCCCTGCAGTAATTACCCTTCATGGAATTAGTAAAGTTTCTGTTTTTGATATCAATCCGCTTCCAATACAGGGTTATTGTAGTCTATACTGATACCTTTTACCTGAAATATCATAAATAGTAAATAATAGTGCTTTAAGCAAAGCTGTTTCTGTGACTAACTTTAGATTTCTTTATCTTGAATCCTGGCTCAGCTCTCATCTGCTTAGCTGTGTTTTCTGGCCATCAGGGGCTACTACCTTTCTTCTCTCACATTGACTCCTGAAGGCCTGCAGTCAGATGCTGGCAGAAAGCCATTCACACAAAGCCTGTTTCTGCTAGATGCTTCTCCCTGTTAAAATTTTTCTTTGCTGCAATTCAATGACAAAATGCAATTGACAGTCCACTGCAGAAACATGTTCATCCAGGTGGATTGAAACCTGCAAGTTGAGCTGGATGCAATCCGCTGAGTTTCCTGAGATGGAAAACTTTGAACTGATCTGTCTGCATTTGATTGGGCTGTAAAGTGTGTTGAGAGGACGTGTGTTGGTTATTGGGGCTTTGAAAATACATTGTTATCTGATCAAAAATAGAAAAAAATTGTTATTATAGAGGATTTTACAATATAGATATACTAAAAATAAATCCCATAACTGAGTTTGTAACCATAGTCAGCATGTAGTCTAAATACTTTCTTTGCTTTAACAGTTAAATTGAAAATATTGCACTCAGCCATGTTCATATTTCAGTTCTGAAGCATAGATCTTTATCTATTCTTTGACAGCCACTGATTGTGCAAGTTCTCCTACTTAGAATAATGAAAGAGGACATCGTAGGTACACTTCAACTATGAGAGACGAAATGAGGAAAAAGAAATCCAGGAAATCACATAGTAGGATTTTTAAAGAATTTATTTGTAAATTATGGTGGAAAAAAAGCGGTTTGGTCAATAACTAAAGCTCAACTCAATACTTTGTTGCATAACTTTGTTTGCAATGGCAGAGGTCAAACGTTTCCTGTAAGTCTTCACCAGGTTTGCACACACTGTAGCTGGGATTTTGGCCTATTCCTCCATGCAGATCTCCTCTAGAGCAGGGATGTTTCGGGGCTGTCATTGGGAAACACAGACTTTCAGCTTCCTCCACAAATTTTCTATGTACCTATGCAGGGTTTATACAGGAATGAATAACTCTAATTTAATGCTCTTAGAAATAATTTTAATGCCACCAATAGGTACCCGTCGACAGGCTGCAGCCATACCCCGAATTCCTCGTTTTCGAACTACTATTGTTGAAATTGGCATTCTTCCCCATTCTCTAGCTTTTTCTCCAACTCAAGCTTCTTTTACGAAAATTTGCGATCAACCGGAAGCAGTTCCACGCAAATACATCGTGATATGTCTGACGAAATTTTATTTTGTTAAGAAAAAAATGCCACAATAAACACATTTAATGATTTTTAATGACCCGCGGAAACCCTGCTATGATAAAAATTACAGACCTCTCATTATTCTAAGTAGGAGATCTCGGTGGCTTACTAAATACTGTTTGGCCCCACTGTATTTCTTAGTTTCATGTTTAGTTTTTTGCCTCATCAGCCCAACACTGATCTGATTTGCATTTTAGCATTGATATTTGGATCACTATTCCCACCCCTACAGTACTTCTAACACAGAATATTTTCCCAAAGCTGCTGGGATCATTTGTTCATTTAAAAGCGATTCCAATAAATCTCATCATGTGTTGATATTTAAAAACATTTAGAATACATGTGGTCAGAAAGTTTCTATTAAACAGATGACTTTATTTTCTGTTGCTGGTTTTGACGATTCTTTTTTACTTACAATGAGTAAAATCATTGATATTTGCTCAGGTTATCTTGGTTTCATTTTGAAGGATTTTTGGTGCAACAAAAACGCTTTGATTCAAAATATGTCAGCGCTACTGATCTCCTCACAAGAACTCATACGAGACAGATTTTTTAGGATTTATTAAGATGTATTCAGACACTCAAAATGGATCAGCCCATCACTAGTAATGCTGTTTAACATTAGATTTCATCGAGCTGTAAGAGAGACCACCAGTTAGGTTAAATACGCTCCCCGCCCACAGCCAAAAGTTAGCAAAACCAACACAGTCCGTCATATAAAAATCCAAGGGCAGTTATCAATAATTAAAACATAACCAACACTGTGCAATGCAATAAAAGTTCCTTTCAAACACAACCATGGACCTTTTTCTGAAAAAAAACAACAAAAAAACTGAAAAAAAAAAAATTAACTTAAAAAAAGTGACAAGACACCAGAGAGATTTTGTTAATAACACTACATAGAAGAAGACCACCACTGCTTAACATTTGACCAGCTTTGTGAAAATGTAGCCTGAAGAGGAAAAAAAGGGCGGGAATAACAGAAGCAGAAAAATATTGAGCTGTACAATTGTTCGGAATCTCTAAATAAATTTCCAGGTGAGCTGCTGAGCTTAGAGCTGAACTGAAGGAAGAAGAGAACATTGCACCCTATAACAACATTAGAGTATAGCTTTTTTTTTTCTCTTTTTAACACAGACGTATGACAGTTTCTTACTCTAAACTGATATCACCTATTGCAGGTTGGAGGAGGTTGATTACTGGCCTCTCTGGAAAAGGAGTTGGCCAACAAATTTAACCTTTATGTTTATGCTGCGGTCTGTTATCAGTATGAGCAACAAATTTAAAGTTTCACTGATGTTTGTCTCTTAGAAACTTTGGAGACGTGAATCAACATGTTCCTGGAAATCCGATGCATGCTGGGAAGAGTTGTTGCTTTTCACAGCGATCCTTTCCTGGAACTGTCACAGCCTGAGAGGCCGAGCAACCCAGCATGGGAACAATTTGGTGTTTTCTAGAATCAACAAAAAGGACCCCCTGGCCAAAAAAAGAACCCAAACACAGACTACTACAGGGAACATCCAGCCAACCCTCTTGTGTGACAAGCTAACCCTCCTTATCACTGTTCTCACACGCCGCACAATCACACGTCCACAGGTTTCCCGCTTGCTTGCCTTTCTAAAAAGGGTTTAGTCTTTAAACTGAGTAAAAGATAAAAATGTGTTTGTTTTTTCTTTTTTTTCAGGAGTTGTAGTGATACATGCATCCGTTATACTGATATACACTTCTTAAAAAAAGTTAAAAAACAAAAGAACATCAACAAAAAAGGTATTAGAAATGCAGCTATACAGAGTCTTTTAGCTATTCCAGGGAAGTGAGGGTCAAGAGCAGGTCTGATGCCTGGAAATCAACGGGTCCAACGTCCAGAAGTTGTTTGGGAGGGGTGGGAGCCGAGAGGAGGAGGAGGTGAGTGGAGGAGCTGGGCTAGTTACTGCAGCAGGAGCGGCTGCTGGGCTGAGCCGCCTCTGTCAGGTCCACCCCCCGGTTCCGCCCGCTGCTGGCTCCGGCAGGCTGCGGCTCATTCTTCGGAAGCTTCTTTGCTGCAACCACAAAACACCAATTTGTAAGGTTATTGCCTTTAACGAGCTTCTATAACAGAGCCTGTAAAAATGACTTTACAACACTGATCGTTGGTCAGATCAGTTAGGCTGGAAAAAACAGAAGCTACTTGGTTTGTTTCTTTAAAGAATGTCTTTAAAACCTGCATCAATCTGACCTTCCCTGTCAGATCAGTCATGGGATAAATTAAGTTCACCTTAGCCGCTTCTTAAGGTTTCAAGATGAAAGAGCAGCAGCCATGTGGTGCTCATTAAAAGCACATCATTTATGGATCATCATCAGAGTGAGTCTGTCTATAAAAAACAGGAGTTAGGGAACTTAAAGTAGAGTATTTATAGAAAGAGTGCAGGCAGGATTTAAAAACTAAGATTAAATAATTTAGAGAGAACTAAATTTGAAACGCTGGCCCATACAGCAGAAAGAATAGATGCATCGATTAAAGGGAAAAAAGTAAGGCACAGCTACTCAAATAAAAGGCATATTCATGTGAAAAAAAGCAGCCAGTTTACAGAACAATTCAAATACTATACGAGTGATATGAATGTACAAACCAGCACTTCCAGAGCCATGTATATTAACACAACGCCAAGTTGGAAAGACATCAGTATCGACCTAAAAGAACCTTATTTTGCTTCTCGTCAATCTGGGAAGGGATACAAGTCTGAAAAATCTGTGGTTTGGAGAACATTTAGGACGAATGGGAGTCCTAAAAGAAGACATTCCCGCAAATTCTTCTAGCGATCACACAATGTTCAGGGAAATGGCAAAAAAACATAAACAATAAAGAGCTCCATGTCAAACTTCACAGGCCTCTGTTCAATTTCAAACTTAAGGATTCAAGTTTAGGATTATTATAAAAGGGAAGAAAGAGTTACAGTGTTGTGATGGTCTATAAGCTAAAATAAACTGTGGGACTTTACCAGAGCTACAAAGAAACAGATGTCTGCAAAGATCAATAAACTGATGCAACAATACAAAAAAGAACAGACTTCATCTGAAGAAATTTCATAGAAATTTCATAGAAACGTTAATTTCACAGGACAAACTGTGTTTTCTTAGGGAAAGAATTTTTTTAAAAATCGATGGAAGAGAAATTTAACCAGCTTGAACAAAATCCTGGAGCTGAAAGACCTAGATCAACTTGTACACCTAAAGATAACAATCACAGCAAAGCAAATTTAGTTCTTTCTCCCATTATTTAATACATTGAAGCTTCTGCAAAGCTTAAATAAACTCAACAGTGCCACTTTGTGGCCAAAATGTTTCTTGTCATTTCTGTCAGGGGGTAAGTTGCATTTAAGTTGCAATTAAGAAAGTGCAGCTAATTGTTTTCATGGGCTTCACACAGCTGAGGACCCATCTGATACCTGTGCTCCTTCTAAAACACTATCTGACTTAATAAAAACCAAATGTGTTTACAAATAATTAGGGAAACGGGTGAAATAGTGAACAATTGATACCCAGCAAACAGTAAAAAGCTTAAAATTAGTGCTGTCAATCGATTAAATTTTTTAATCGCGATTAATCGCATCAATGCCTGAGTTAACTCGCGATTAATCGCATTTTAATCGCAAATTTTTTTTCTGATTGAAAATCATTTAAATACTCTCGATGACATACAAAAAATACATACAGGCTAGGTTTGTGCCAATGTTCTTTTTTTAAAATGAAAACAGGTCACAGACACTGATTTATGCCAGAAACATATGGCAAGAAGATGGGGAGGCATGTAGCAAAAAATAACAAATATGTAGCCAAAAAAAAGGCCCTGAAAACAGGCTGATGTAAAAGACAGTCTTTACAGTTAATGCAGTCTTTTGAACAAAGACAAGCATTTTACCCTACTGCTATAAAATGTAGTACAGTTAATATTAGATGTCAATTAACCAAGGTAATAATGAACAATTTTCAATCAATACATCAAAATCAATAGACCGACATCACTAGATGGAGGTAGTCTATGCTCTAGAAAGTTACTTTTCAGCCTCTTAACAAAAATGAGAACACACACACACACCCACCCACCCACCCACACACACACACACACACACACACACACGATACCGACCTGTGGCGAACACAGACAGCAAGATTCCATTTCACCTCAGTAATCTGTTTTCTCAGCGTATTTCAGGTTGCTACTAGTTACCAGACACTCTACTTGTTTGTTGGTGGTGGGGCTTAAAGAAAAGGCACTAGCGCTACCCAGTGTATGAGCGTCTTTTTTCCTTGAGGAGCTCCGCTCTGGAAGCCTATGAGAAATGCATACACTGGGGGAAAATAGCCCCGCCTTCTCGCAGGCTGCAGCGGGATGTACTTGGAAAATTGTACCATAAAACCACATAGCGTTAATCTCACGTTAAAAAAATTATCGCCGTTAAAATGGCCTCGCGTTAACGCGATAATAACGCGATAATTTTGACAGCACTACTTAAAATATATCATGAATCTGTAATTTTGGGAGCATGTCCTATTATCATCCTGTAGAATTAGGGACGGATTTTACCTAAACTAAAATTTTACAAATTGAAGGAAGAAAAAAGGTCTGCTCAGTGGTGACGTGGGTAGCACTGCTGCCTTGCAGCAAGAAGGGTTCTTTCTGCATGGAGTTTGCATGTTCTCCCTGTACATGTGTTGGTTCTCTCCGGGTACTCCGGCTTCCTCCCACAGGCCAAAAACATGACTGTTAGGTTAATTGGCTTCCCTAAATTCTCCTTAGGTATGAGTCTGTGCATGAATGGTTATTGGTCCTGTTCATCTCCATTTTGCCCTGCGATGGACCTGTCCAGGGTGTACCCCGCCTACCTCCCATTGAAGCCTGGAGATAGGCACCAGCACCCCTCGCAACCCCACTTGGGAATAAGTGTGCAAGAAAATGGATGGATGGATTTATGGATGGATGATGTCTTTCAGGTGTTTATTCAGTTCATTTTGATGATTATTCTAACAGTTACTGTGAAAAATACAATTCAAGACAATAAAACGTTATTTTGATGGCCTAGCCCAAAATAGGAAAGTCTCCTGATTTGTAAGCAGTCTTGTTTCTTTTAGAGTTTAGAAAGATTTAAATTGGTGATGACAGTGAGAGACATTATAATTCTTGGTGTTCAAACAGCAGGAAACTCTACAGTTTCCTGCTATCACATGCGTCATTCTGACCCTTTAAGATATGCAAACAAACATACTAGCATGTTGATGCTGCTTTATATTAAAGCAGCATGAGAAAATGTTGATTAAATACAAGGAAGCTCTGCGGTATGGGTAGAAGCTGTGGTCTGGATATATGATGACGAATACGTTACCAAAATAATATCTGCTTAGTTTCTAAAGCTGAAAGCAGCAGCTCTGTTTGTTTATTGCCATCGTGATTAAAGAGCTGTTGGTTTTGTGTAAACCGTATTTAAAGACGTGAGGATGTCAATAAATAGGTTTTTATAATTCAGTTCAACAATTTCTCTACACAACGATCCACTGCTTGTCAACCAGAGAAAAGACACGTAAAAATCTTATGTGTATTTTTTGCAATAAAGTAAAGGAAAGAGGGACTACAGATTAGTAGAGGGAGGCAGTCGGAGGCCCGGAGTAGGAGGCACTTACCAATGGCCATGAAAATCTCGTTCACGTTCATGGAGGTCTTTGCTGAAGTTTCCATGAAAAGCAAACTGTTGTCGTCTGCATATGACTGTGCGTCCTATAGAGCAGCATCAGAAATGAGTAAGAAAAAGAGTAACAAGCAGAGTCAAAAGAAATGCTTAAATGAGAAGTTGGGAGACTAAAGGTTTTTTTTAAATCTACAATCAGTGATTTTGATCCATTTAATTAAACAGTTGAAGTTCTGAGGACAAACCTGGAAGTCCAGAGCTCTCTTGCTTGCGAGGTCCGCCTTGTTCCCAGCCAGGGCTATTACAATGTTTGGACTGGCTTGTCTCTGAAGCTCTTTGACCCAGTTCTTTGCCCGTACAAATGACTCCTGGCAGACATAGGAAATAAGAGTAAGGGCTCCCTCACTTAGAGAAAATAACAATCAAGCCCGAATGATGGAGAGCAAGGCCAACACAGTTTATTTAACTGATCAGGGCTTTTACAATTTTGGTAAAGCACAGGAAGAACATTAAAGAATTACATACTTAAAGTAAGCAGACCAAATACCATTCCTCTGTTCTAACAGAGGAAACATGGCAGACATCAACCTGCAAACAGAATACTAAATGTTAGGCCATTAAAAAGTGAAATGCGTGTGCTGCCACTAGGGGGTGCACAAGATGAAAAATGTAATGGCCGTCTGATAATTACAGAATTACATTTTTTCCCTACACAATAAAGAGGTGTAAATAAACATATCCTTTGTAAAATTTCAAATAGAAACTGTAGTATTAATAAAGATCTACAATTTTTTTCACAGGAAAAATCTATTTAATTAGAAGCAATCTTTTTCTACACTTTATTTGAAGATATTGTATAAAGGAAGTTATCCTTCTAAGCATTGTAGTAGGTACTGTATACGCGAAGCATGCGGTCTCACATACACAGCGCTCTCCATGGGATAATGACCGAAAGTAACCACTATAAAACAATCAGGAAACACCTTTTTTATTATCTGATTACTAACAGCTTTATGAAGGCCTGCACTCACACTCTGTTATTGTTACTCTACGCCTCTCTACCAAGGTTTTCTCTTTCTTTCGTCATCGGACACGAATCAAATAACCTTCTTAGAGTTTCCATTGTGCAGCTAGAATTGTGATTCAGATTTAGATAGAGAGGCAGGTACATGACACAAACAAAGTGAGAACACACACAGGTAGATTACCGGAGTTTAGTCTTTAAATCCACCTTTCAAGATCGTTAAGGTTTTCTGTAGAGATTTGCCTGATCCGGGCGTCCCTTTCTTTCTCTCATTGCACCCAAAAACCCTCAGGATCCTGTTTCGGATGTTGTGTGTAACTTTATTGCAACTTATTATAAATTGACACTACCCCAATGAAAGAGGAAAAATAATTTAAAAAAATCGCAATTTGCAACTATTTTTTTAATCATCATTGTTTAGATGATAAATCAATATTGTTGTAATGACTAGAAATGTGGCACCATAACGATAAACGATACAATAACTGCTCAGCGTTAATTTATACCGGGATTTATTGCAATGAGTTAACAGGATTTTATTTAGGGATATCAAAGCAACTTGGTCAGCATTCATCTGCATACACTTTGTATGTAAAAACTATTCAGGAATCAAATAATCTGTTTTTTCAGTATATGCTATTTTGTGTTGCAATATGAAAAAAGGTTCCTCCAAAATACATAGAGGTCTCTGATTGTAGAGATAAAGTGCTTTTATGAGGTATGGATACTCTTATAAAACTCATTGCTTTCATTTAAAGTAATATAGCATCATTCAGATAGATTCAGTCACCAAAATGTATGTTTTTTTCTTGTCATCTGGGATTTTTCTGATCGTAAAGAATAATAAAAAACTGGATGATATATTATAATTTTTCTTGTGTCACAGCTTCTTGAAAGGAGCTGAACCTGGAGGATGTTGTTATCTGCGCTTTCATCAAGGCAGAATTGGGAGAAAGCCAGCTTCCTTGAACGTTTTCCTGGAAGCAACTTCAGACAATGTAGCAGGATACCTTTTAGTTAGCGCGACAGATGACTCCGGGAAAAGTTCGCCTTTTGCTCACCAAGGACAAATGATTTTCCAAAGACCCAAACAATCAAGATGACTATTCTTCAGAGTAAATACCTTTGCACTACTCCTCTGCTTTACTGAACGTAATGACTATCTACTGCAAACCTGAACCACTTTCTGTGATTGGTGAAAAAACACTGCACTAGTCACAACAGGATTCTATAGCATAGCTTTAACATAAACTTCACCCTTAATACGCTTGATGGACCAGAAAAAAGTTCTTTCAGCAGCAATATTCCAAAAGCTGTTACCATCACATGTACATTTATCACGAAGCGAGGACAGATAATACCGCATATTGTATTTTTTGTTTTTAAGGCTGCACTTTAAAAAAAATGTAATTGTCTAGAGAGCTGTTCTTAACTAAATTTATTTTTGTTTTACACTTGTGTATACAAAATGACAAAATAAATCTAAGTCTAATATTGAAGTTAGTGCTAAGGAAGACATAAAGAAAGATTAGGAGCTCCCCTGCCCCTCATTTACAGAAATTAGTCATCTAACTAGATTAATAAAGGGATTTCAGGTGGACTGTTTCACATCATTCTGAGTTAATAATATGACTGAACTAAAATTAAGTAGAGATTCAGCCATCTGATATTAATATATGTATTGGTCCCACTATCAAAACAAAATTCTGTATTAGATAGTGGTGCAAATGGACCCAATCCATAGAGGCAGGAGAATTCAGTCTAGTTCTATAATACATCTAAGTTAGGTAAAAAATCTTAAGGTTCATGAGAACCTATCTTTGATTTATTACATACAGTCATTTTGAACCCATAGAGTTGCATAATCGGGATTGAATTTGTCCCATTAACACAATTTAATGACTTCCTTTTCTGACCTTATACTGATCTCACTATGCCTTTCGTGATATACATTTAAACAAATCATACTTGCTTCTAGATAGTAATATATAACAGTAACTGAAATATGGAACGCTTAAAAGACTAGAAAAGCAGCCTGAGAGCGTAGACCTCAGACAAGCAGCACGTTGTGACTAAAATCTATAGATAAAACTCACACAGGATCTGGATCATTACTGAGTTTTAATGGATTATTCCAAAGCATAACTCTGGTGAAAGCATCATTAAAATCTGTTTATAAGTTCAGAAGTAAGGCTCAGACTGAGTCTGCAGCCTCTGGTGTCTGTTCTGTTCTTGCCTCCTTCATTTTGGGTGGTTTCTTCCTTTTTTCAGCAGATTACCCCCCTTTTTTTTTTTACATCTTTGCATTTTTGTCTTCAGTATACTTCTGGCCTGGATGCAATGCTGAAGGGCTCAATAGTCACTGCTGCCACCCTCTGGTTTAGGGGGGGTACTGTTTTTTTTCTCAAATATCCCTATGTTACAATTGCTAAAGAACCCTTCAAAAAAAAAATCCGATATCTAAATTATGATCTGTATCTACTTAATTGATCCTTGGCATGAGGCGCACCTCTGGTAAAGATTTTATTAAAATCCATTCATAACTTTCAAGTAATCCTTTAACCAAAAAACATGACCAAAAATATAACCTTCTGGGAGGAGGTGATGCTGAATAACATTAAAGCAAACAGAGCTCTGGTTTTTAGAAAAGTATGGGGATCTGCAGACATCCACATTCAAGTAGTGGAAATGGATCAGAAGTAAAAAAAAATGTGGATCAGTGCATTTAAATAAGTCTCACCAAAACTGCAATATGAAAACAGACATGTTTTGTTTTGACATCGAATTAACTTCTTAAGGAAATAAAGATTTTGTAGATGATTATTAGTCACAATGACTAGAGTTGCAAAGTTGCAAAATAACACTATCCCTCTTCCCAAAACAAAACAAACAAGCACGTTACTATCACAATCAGGTTTTTTAGTTTGGCTAACTAACAGATGTCATATTATCTACCAAAGCTGCAAATTACTCATTACCACAGAGGAGATAAACTTAACAGAGAGTTTTTAAAGTGACCTTCAGATTAACAATTATGCTGTTGAACATTAAGACATTAATCATTAAAATATGAATGACTCAAGTGTGTACGGAAACTCTACAAACATTATCTACTGGACACTTTGATGTTTATCCGTTACTCATCTTGCATGGTTTAAAAATAAGTTTCTGTTTTAATCCTGAATGCTATAGAAAAAAAAAAAACATAATGAAGATGGAAACCCCCACCACGCCCATTTCCTCATATACCACAGCATTTTTGTGCGAGCGAGCTAATACAGATTAGTGACAAAGCTGCAGGTAGTAGCAACAACAAACACGAGACAAAAAATCTTGGCTCACCTCATTTGTTATATCATAGACCACAATGGCTGCCTGGGCGCCTCTGTAGTACATCGGAGCCAGACTGTGGTAGCGCTCCTGACCAGCTGTGTCCCAGATTTCAAATTTGACTGTTGTGTCGTCCAAACATACTGTCTGAGTCAGGAAGGCAGCTGTAGGGAAAAAGAGCAGATAAGGCAGTCACATTCTGAGCTGCACTAAGTCTGTTTTAGTGAAAGTAACACCAGTCAGTGCTGCTCACACTCAACCTGCCTTATCAGACAGGATGGAAGGGTAAGGATCAGTGGAGATGGATTCAGGGGCCCTTTTTTTTAAATTAAATTACCAGTATGTGGTCGGATTTCTTAGCAGAAAGGCTCTGCTTTTAATATAAGCAAAAACTTACTTTGTATTATCATGCAGTGAGATTCAGCCTGATTTATTACTGAAACAATTTTATCTGGCCTAAAGGGATTCTAATAAAAGCAGTGTATTCAATTGAATGGGAGTTCGTCACACAGTCTGCAGGGGGAGGGGAATATTATAGACAGCACACAACTTTAACTTAAAAAAAGATACCTGAAACTATGAGAGAACGTCTAGGAATTTACCTCTGCGGTTCTTTGTTCCTCCCTGATATCTAAACACATGAGATAACCTTAAAGTTGAAACCTAAAAATACTCAAGGTGTTAATTAAACACAACTACATCACGTTTGGCATTTCCGTTTCTTTTCACCAAAGCGGATAAATCGCTTCAGCGTGTGTCTTTCAAAAAAACAAAACAAAAAAAACTGACTCTTCACCCACAGCATCCAAATCATTCCTAACCTCCATTATTGGCTGATGAGAAGGTGTCTGTAAAGGTACTGTTTGGAAATCTCTCCCAATAATCTGATAAAAGTCTGTTTCTTTAATTTGAAAAAACTAAACAAAAAAAACATTTTAAGGCTGAAATGATGAATGTGAGTAAGCCTTGAGAGAAAACAGGTACAGAGAGCAGATTCTCCTTAACAACAAAACAAAGGAAAAAAAAACGTGAAACAAACAGGCGGCCCAACTAAAACCTTGAGGCGCCTTATGAAACCGCGCTGAGAACGGTCCGAGCACTGTATCCAAGATAACTGTTGAGTGTGAATGAAATGCAACTGAACCGGACCATGCCAAACACAACCAAACATGCTAAATCTTGTACTAGTTCAACAGAAGGGCTCGCCACGGTTCAGTTGTGGTTTGGTTCTCTGATAACAAAGAGCGCATGAGCAGACCACTTCATCTCCTATTTACAGTCAGCTGACTCATTTCAGGCGTGTCCAGCTTTGCAACTCACAGATCTCTCCGCCTGTTTACGACAAACTTTTTCTCAGCCTATTAACAATAAATGGCATCAAAAGAACGTGGTGCGACCAGGGATGATGCCAATACCAAGACTCTAATTGAAATTTGGGCAGAGGACGCTATCCAGGAACATAAGTTCCTGAATATTATGGGCGCTGCCATTTTTGTTTGTGTAAATCCTGCCTGTAGTGTCGTGGATGCCGATAGTAGGCGAGGAACCGTGCTAGCATGATGTGTAAATGGCCATAAGAACCAAGCTCGGCACGGTTAACAAATCCAAGCTTGATCCGAACTGAACGTTTCAGAGGGCTAGTGGAAATGAGACATGAGGGAAGGAGCAACCCGGCCGTAAGGACACTGAACACGACACTGTTCATGTCGTTGACAGGACAGATAGCTCAAGCAGGGAGTTAACAGTCAGACCACTGAGGGAACTGGGGGTGTTACTTGTGAGCATAAAGTTTGGCAGGGAAGAAATTGCTTTTCTAAAGGATTTTTTTTTTATTATTTCTTCATCTATTTCTTTCCTTTTTCTATGTCTATTGTTGGTACAAAACATCCACTGGTGTAGATTGTGTTTATAGAACAACCTTGTTGGCCACTCATCTGTTCCTTGGGGGCCACCTGGTGTCTACTGACACTGTGTTGGTGTCCCGTGCTCTAGATGTTCCATCTTAACATATGAATATGACAATTTGCTTTAGTTAGGACAGTTTTGATACTCTGCATGTCTTCATCTAATAGAAGTTGTTTTAGTTTGCTTTTATCCACCAGATATTGTGGCAATACTTTGGCTAATGCAACTAATCACAGTTATTAGTGAAAAAATTTCAGTTATTTTAGTCAGAACTGAACAAGAAAATATCGAAAAATTGAATTTAGGATGAAAAAGGGTCTGTACAGAACTATTTTTGTGATATAGTTTAACACCATTTGGTTTAAGCTCAGTAAATTAAGCACCTTGTGCTATTTGTTTATTAATGGATTCATCGAAAAAATTGTCATCAAATTATTCTAAACACTACTGAAGAAGTAAAACTTAAAAAAATTAAGAAACCTGTCTGAATTATGCACTGAATTATCTACTTATGCCTGAAGCGTTACTGTGCGTAATCTACAACTGGATGATATGGTCAAAACTTATATCATAATATATCTTTTAGCTTTGGTTGATACGATATCATTCTGATATGGATATAAACTATATAAGCAAGACTTCAGCTAAGGTAAAATATAATAAACCATTTCAAAGACCCCATCATATCACAGGGCTTCCCCTTGCTCTGCTCTTTACTTTATGCCCTCTTTCATTTAAACACTGCGCTCAGCTCTTTAAGCTATGCAGTAAGCTGTTGCATATGAGCATCACAACTTCTTTACGGTTCACCTACATAATTTTCCTCAGACATTAAATCAGGAGACATTTGTGGGCGGGCTCAGGTGTGTCTGAATCTGGAACGTTTGGACATTTATCCTGGGCACTGATTTTGTAGCCAACGCTCACCAAGTTGGATCTTAGCCTACAGCTGCAGGCACAGGCTCCGTCTGTGGCGTGTCGTCGCTCATGCGCCCAATGTTTTGCTAGATATCACTGACGTAAAATAAAACTATACAGTCAGATATATTGATAGTGAATATTTGCCCAGTCATAGTATAAGATGTATTAGGCAGTTTAATAAATCCCCATTCAAACACCTTCATTTGAAACATGATTGTATAGTTCATGATTCTGCTTTAAATGAATGGTCTGATTTGATGTTATCCCTGTCTAGTGACCGAGACTCTTGTGACAGCTGTTTGTTAATTATCTTATTTCCTGTTATAGATTTTCTGCATACCCCTCTGATTCCCAAAGTTGTTATCATACATACCTCCGATTGTGCTTTCTTGGAATTCGTGAAATTGACCCTTGACGAATCGAAGTACAAGACTTGACTTTCCCACCGCTGACTCTCCTAAAAGCACGAGCTTGAACTGGCAGATCTTGTTGCCTGCATTGGGTCCATTGGGTCGCGTGGCTCCGCCTCTACTTGCCATGTCACTCTGTGCGGTCTCTTCCCCTGAACGCTGATGCGGTGTAACAACTTTTATTAACACCTAGAGGAAGAAAATAATAATTCAGTTGTAAAATTTGTCAACACAGATAGTGAAAATCATTTTCGGCTCATTCCAGGAGTCAAATCACTTCTTCATAAATTTGGATTTGGATTTTCAAAAAGTAAGTCTTTTTCTATTATATCTCCATGTCTCTGCTTTATTCTTACAACTAAAAAACTGCAAAAGCTCTATTTCTGGCATGTGACATGAATCTCAACAGTCCTAGAATTTATCTCTACACTGACTAAATGTTTTTTAAATGATTCAAACTCCTAATTGTGTACACAGGGAAGCTCAGGGTCTTTGATACAGACGAACAGGAACAGAGGAAACAATAAAGCAGAGGCTGGACTTTTAGTGTAGCTGCACGGGGCTGATCCCCTGATTCTATCCTTTAGAAATTCATTTTTCTCTTGGATTATAAACTAAACCGTCTTTTTCTGTTTTAGTGATTTTTTTTCTTATAAATTTGTTGTGAACTTTTGTGACAAACAAACTGAATTGAAATTGTTTGACATCTCATTTCTTCATGTTTCTCATTTTTAAAACTTTTTTGTCAACCTAATTTGTTTCCTAAATCTGCTTATAAATTAATAAGACTTTGAATAATCTAAAAAACACGTTGAGTTTTTCTCAGGAAAATATATTGAATTTAAAATAAAACCAAAAGTTTAAAAATATACCACCTCAAAATGCTCTGAAATAATTCAGTTTCAGTATTAATTATAACAATTTCTTTAAATTTTTTACCATGGGTATTGCTTGATTAAGATTAGGCTAATTACAGTTTTATAAAATAGCTGCAATGTAATAGACCAGAGCATTTCAATATAAAGTGTTATTTGTGTTATTTCTTATACAGGAAAATGCTTTTACAAAATCTATGAAAATACATTTGTAAAATATAACCTTCATCCTTCACACTTTCATTTGAGCCCAGATAACCAGATATTCTTGTCAACACTGCAATATGTTTTGTACTTACTTTTATATTGCAAAAAATTGTTTTCATTTTGTCTATAGGGTACACACAAATAGAATATAGATTTCAGATAAAGGTCTGAAAAGTGTGAACATTTTAGCTACTGTACGAAGCTCCAACAATACCTTAGAGGGGATTTGATGTAGGAGTAAAACAGATTAGAGGACAAGTTTGGACAACACATTAGGAGAACCTCCTCGGGTTAGGTAAGATTAGGTTTGTTACAAAGAGCAGTAAATTAGGTTCCATTTGGAGCGGTTGTGATTTTGACACCTGACAGGGCCAACACCTCAGGTGATTAAAAACAATAAAATAAACCCTCTTATATTGGCTATAGAAAGGGGGAGTTTTAGAATCTGTGTGGATCAGAAAATTTTTTATCAGGATTCCACTTCTCATCTAGTTTTTGCATCCTAGTTTTCACACAGGTCAGGTAGACCAAAACCACATCTTCTGATTATAACAGCTTTATCAATTATTTTGTATCTTATATGCCTTATATAGTACTGAGTTTATGTTGGGTTTCTTGGTAGGTCTCATTTGAGGAGGAGATGACTAATTTCAACAGCACTTGCTTATTTTATCAAGATAAAAAAAAAAAAATCATGTTATATCTCATGTCATTTGCACTGACTCTCTGCAGGACTATCATAATTTAGCCAAACCGATGAATTATCTGGGCTTTTTATGCTGTACCCCAAAAATCCTTAAGCCAATGTAGATTAATGGGAACATGGGGATGATAAAAGAGCAGGAAAGACTGCAGGAAAAGAGTTTCTGATTCTGAGAAAACAATAGTTTTACTTGAGACCAAAAATGTCTTTCTTTAATAAAGAATTTGAATATTAAGGGCCATACAATCTATACACTGACAGATCACTGACCGGGGCTGCAACTGTCACAGTGTTTTTTTTTAAGCAACAACTGAGTTTCAAATTAATAATACCTGGGCTAAAAAGCAGGACTGGACTGCTGCTCAGTCAGATTTTTCAGATGAAGATTGTTAAGCAAATTTTTCTTTTTTACGCATAAGGAAGAGAGGAGAGGCACCCAATCCAAACTGATTTGAGGTCATGTGTTTAGTCTCTATGGTCAATAATTATTAGGGCAGCCATGCCATCTGCTGATATATGTCCAACAATCTGTCATATCCAGAGTCTGTATCTGTGTCTATCAAGTCATTTTATTTTTCATTTTGCTGATTTAATTTTTCCAGCAGAACTTGGCACCTGAATAAACTGGCACAGGTATCATTACCTGCTTTATTGGCTTTGGGATTACTGTGCTTGATTAGCCAGCAAACCTCCAGATCGAAACCCAACAGATGATTGCCAACAGGAAGACAACACACCAGATCAAATAATATAAACCAGCTGAAGACAGCTTCCTTTGACTTACTTAAATTATTCCAAAGGAGCCCAACATTTCAGTATTCCATGATAACACTTTTCACAAGTCAAAATTTCTGTATGTATAAACGCTTTACTGCATTGGTCTGGTTTAAGGTTGAGGAGCTGTATTTGTTTTGATATCAACCTCATTAAAATCAGCAGGAATAAAAGGTTTAAATGCATGAACTTATCTTTCCTAACATTTTCATTATAAGCTTATCTGGGGATCATTTCAACCTGATTTAAATGGTTAAAAAAACATTTTGATTTCAAATAGTACTTATATGAAGTCACCACAATAGATATTATGACGGAGTATGGGAAGATTGAAGACTTATTTTTCATTGATTGGTGTATATCTGATAAAGGACCAACTCTCCTTCCGATTTTTCCAAAAACAACTATCACAAACTTCGCTTGAAATCGCGTTACAACATCGGGATAACCACATATAACCTGTTATTAGCTTCAATTAGCAAACAGCTAACATTAGCAAAACAGCTAGTTCGTCAGTTAACACTGTCAAACTCCAGATCAAATAGCGATGACATCTGATTCAGTCAGTGAAAAAATAAGTCTAATCGCGATATGTTTCTTACAGTACACGGTTAGACACTTGCGTAACGTTTGAAAATGTCAGAACTCAGATGATGATGCAGGTTTGGGTGTGTACAGCTAATGTAAGGTGGCTAACGCTGTCTGAAAAAAAGATTAAAGTAGTTAAACTTCTTTAGCCGTTGACTTCATTGTGTATTTGCGTTGTGTTAATGTTGTATAACGCTGTTATTGAGCTGGAACTGTTGGCCTGTCCGGGTTAGCAGCATTATTTACACTGCTAACTAGCATGGCCCGCTGTGCTGGCTAGCTGGGTGAATGTTGTTTAGCTGCGGCCGCTTCGGGAGGAGCCCCTCCGGTGTTAGCATTCAGGTCGCTAATATTAGCCGCTTACTCACCAAAGAAAAAGAAGGGCAGCCTGGGCGATGTGAATGATGTCTCCGCACCGGTTTATCCGCCGCACTCGACTGTCTGCTCTCAGTCCGTCAACTATCCGGACAGGTCCTGAATCTGTAGATTTCGTAAGGCTGCGCGGTGTCCCTCTCCCACTTCTTTCAACTTCCCTTTTCGCATTGTACGAAGGATGATGATGACAGATCGTATGACTACAAATGACAATCCGCCTGCGTGTCAACGGCACGGACCAATCAGACGTTTACCTTTATTTCAATTTTTTTCTTACTTTAATTACCAAAATAAAATTAATAAAAACCACAGAAATCGTGAATTTAAAATAGCTAAAGACATTTTATATTTTTGAAAAGGAAAAAAAAAAAAAAAAAGTAATGACCTCAGTTTACATGGTAACAGTTGTTGTCAGGCAACGGAACTCTTTTGAGACGTCGTCGTTTTAAAGGTATGTGTCTTAAAAAGACTGTCTGCTTTTTACAAACTTATTGACAGGACTACCTAATACTAATCTGAGTTTTCATTCAAGATGGATTTGACCGATGAAAACAACCTTTACCCCAGAGATAAAAACCAAGAATTACCAAGGGTAAGCAGTTTAACAGTTTGATGATAACTTTTATTCAATCTCTATACATATAGATTATATTTTCGTCGTTCCTTCTGATTTATGGCATCAGGGCAGGCTTGGTTTTTCCTCCTTTTGTTATGGAAGCCTTGGTTGTTTCTAATTAGCCTTTAACTTGTTTACATTTTAGTTCAATTCAAAAATGCTTTACTATTCCCATGTGGAAATTAAATGTGATGGGATTTCTTCAAAGAGCTGAAGGCGCTGATGGCTGTAGGTTAAGAGGAACCCTGTAGTGGTCTGTCTTACTTCTGATCTGGATTTCCCTCTGACTGAAGACACTGTTTTTGTGGGACAGTTTAATGTGTTCACACCGAAAGCGAAACCTGCAAAACAAAACAAAAAAAGGCAGTTTTTGAGTGCTTTTGTTCACCTTAGATAGATGTATTTTGTCATTTTGTATACACAAGTGTAAACAAAAAGAAATTTAATGTAGAACATAATGTAGAACATTCATTTTTTTAAAGTGCAGCCTTGATAAGGTAAGCAGCAGTTGTTGTTGAGCTGCTGCTACTGCCTCCAGCTCCTGAAGCACTCGCTTCTCCTGGCTCAGGGGAGGAAGAGGACGATGATGATGCTGTAAGGGTGGTAGCCCCCTGGGTTGAAGAGGCTGATGTGAAGCAGCAGTGGTGCCATCTGCAGGTTTAGTAGCGACAGACGATGCTGGAGAAGGTGTGGAAGCCGGAGGGGGCCGGGAGGAGCCGGCTTGGGTTGTTTCAGCATTTGGCAGGGAAGCATCTAGAGTACTCTTCTCATTTTCACCTGCAGAGGGCCGTGCTTCCCCTCTAGATGCCGAAGATTGCCTGGGAACAGTCTCAAAGGAGTTTACATTCCACCTGACATTTTACCAGATATTTTCCTGGCCAGCAAAAGCAAATCCACACTGCTGGTGAAAGGCTTCGGTATGTCATCCAGTTAGCTGGTTGTTGGTTTCACCTCAGCATGGCGCACATGGATTTTAGGGAGCGGGGTTGCAGGGTTTTACTTTACTTTGGAGAGTTGAACAAAGCCACCAGCATCAATGTCCACAGTATGGAGAATAACACCACCTTCTCCAGGGGCTGCGTCTGGATGACAGACGCTTTCAGCCGTAGGACCTTCTCCTATCTGTGCCAAAAGGTTCAGTTAGAGGACCTGCAATTTAAAACCCCTTATTGTCCCACAAAGTGGAAATTCGTTCACTGTATTTTGACCGATCCCCTTTGGGAGCAGTGGGCTTCCTTTGTGTGGCCCCTGGGGAGCAATCAGGGGTTAAGGGTTTTGCTCAGGACCCCAGAGTGGAGGCTGTGGGGATCAAACGGGTACTTGCAACGTTCTCAGAGCGCAGTGGCACTACTCACTAAGGCAACACTCCCCTCGACTCCCCAACACAAGACCCGCTGCTTTGCTTTGGGGGGCAAATCCACCTGACAATGGAGGTAAGGAGCCAGCTCAAACTCAGGAGGAGACAAAAGGAGAATGGTGGTACGTTGGGAAAGAGTGCCAGAGCAGAAAGAGAAGGAGGACAGCATTTCCCATGTCATCCTTTGTTAATATTATTTTGTATATCTCACATTTTGATTTTAATAAATTGTTTCTACTGCCTCCTTTACTGAAGGCTACTGTACTGTAGGTCACCACCATATACTCATTGATTGGTTTTAAAAGTATTTTTGTTATTCTAATACTTCACTCCACTGTATTTGCCAGAAACCAAGTATTTACCTCACTAGAATTAGAACCTTCATCTCTCTTCACTTGGAACACTTCAGAGCCGCCCTCTACAATAGGGGATAACCTGTAAATCAGGCATCCCCAAAGTCGGTCCTGCAGTTTTTAGTGGCTTGTTCTTGCAGTCAGAACGATTCTTAATGATTCTCTAGGCATAACAGAAATGTTCCGCACATAATATCCCTTTTTGATATTATGTAATACTAAAATCGTCCAATCAAATTAAGTTTTGGTTTTACTTTGACTATTATCCCTGCCTTATATACACAGATGTGAAAACCACTCTCTGGATGTTAGATGTGATTAAACATTTTAAGTGAATTACAGAAAAAAATATAAAGAGCTGGTGATATCTTTACTTCACATAGACTTATGTTTGTTTTATTTATTTTTAATCCAGGCTTGGAAACTACCACCAATAGGAGACAGTGTAAAGAGCTGTCTAGAAGAAATTCCACATGTAAGTCTTCTTTTTAATATTGGAGATTGATGGGCTGTTATAACCAAAAAAGGTTTTGTAATATTGTCTAAGTGTACAATGTGTCAATGTTCCATCAGTTTCAGTTCGGTTTTATTCAGTTTTAATATCCTGCTAGTTTGTGGTGTACCTACTACAACATAACAAAGCTGGAAAGTGTTTCTCTCGTATCTATAAGATGTTGGGGTGGAAAAGTAATGAAATTGATAACAGATAAAAGCAAAAAGCAAAAAAAAAAAAACAACCAAGTGGAGTAATTGAAAGTGTATAGTCTTAGTTTAGCCTTTTAACAGCTTGAGGCAGAACGCTGTGTTGCAGTCTACTGGTTCTGCTTTGGATCTTTCTGTACAGTTTGCACGATGGCTGCTGGTTCAAACATTTATGGAGCGGGTAGGGGAAGGTGCTTTCACTGATCAGATCTCTGCAGATGTAAAAAGATACTAAATGGAGACTTTAATGACATGCAGCCTTCCTCACTGTCCTCCCTTGTATTGCAGCTGATTTTGGATGCCGAAATGTTAACCCCCTCTCTCTCTATTTAGAACGATTGTATGTAGTGATTTATATCGTTATATATCGCATCAGTGACTTTGCTAAAGTTGTTGTTTTCTTAATTTACCACCACTGTAGTCACACTTTACATACTCAGCTTCTACATGCCTGCTACATTCATACATATTTCCCTCTGTTGTGTTTTTTTTTTTCATTTTATTATTAGTTTTCTTTTTTCTTTTTTTTTTTTATTAAAATCACAGCAAAACCTCAGTGCAAGCTTTGGGTCTTCAAGCCTTCTCATATAATGTATGAATTGGTTATTTGTTCACAGCATTTATCATTCACTTTAATTAAAGAAATTAATTTTGCCTAAGACAGCAATCAGCTCTGGGTGACTTGGTCTCATGCTCTTCATGATGTGTCATTAAATATGTTTAACAAGCAGCCCCCAACCCCGCCCGCTTTAAGGAAATACCGTAGCAGTAATAGACCAGAACCAGAAGCCATTACAGTGGCTCCATGGAAGGCAAATGACCCAGATGTTGCCAGCGCTCTGGTTCACGGCATCAGGACCAAATCATCCCTCCCCGTGAGTAAAGCCTATGCTAGAAGTTGGTGGTTAACTTGCAGCATTAGTAAATTACAACATTACCTAATTTTTTCAATTGAAAAACCTTGCAAGGTGTCTTTAGTTAAACATGGGATGCATGTCTGCTTAGTCTATATAAAAAGTACAGAAGAAATAGGGGAAAAAAGCTAGAATAATATGGGTATAATTCCAGAACTAACCTAATATCACATCTATACACCTCTACATGGTTATCTGCCATAAGTTTGTATTCAGAATGATTACATACATTCATTAAAGAAAAGTATTAGACCACCTTGGTCATTAGGAACAATGGTTACGCATTGAAGTAGTAACTCCGACTGTGTATTTAAAGACAGAGTGGAAAAAGAAAAAAAAGATTCACAAATTTGGAGTTTTATGTTTACATTGAAACTTACACACCGGTTCCTTTTTCCAACAGGTCTCTGACTTGATAGCTCCTCCCAAAAAGACGGACCTCAAACAGAAGTTAGAGGAGCTCAGTGAGTCTATTTATGCTTCCAACAGGAAGGCTCCGCTTGGCCGAACACCTGTCACAGACCTACCTGCATGGTACAGCGAAAAAACTACGTTTGGTCTTAAAACAGTTAAAGGTACATCATATTTCCTAAGATTTTAAAGTTGTTTTCAAATTCCTGAAGGGGAAACAGAGCAGCTTTTCCTTTCAGCCCTGTTTCTAGCTGGTTTAAAGAGCGATTAATATCGTTTAATTTTCAGCGTTAAAATCATACACAAGGACATACCAGGTGCTTCTGAGTTATTATGAACAGGCTTATTTCTAATACAAATATCCTACATTTTGTAGTGTCACAGCTGCACTATGATTTTTATCTTTGTGTGGCAATGTAGGACAGAGAACAGTTTTGGACAGAACAGTTTCCATCACCATTAGAGAATGCTATCCCAGCATTCTCTAATGGTGATGGATGGAAACATTGATGGTCGTTCCCAGGGTCTGAATTTTTATTTTTTTTTTCAGCCAAAATCTTGTTACACCTAAAATAAGGTGAGCAACTCAGAAAATTCTTTAGAATGGTTCTTGTACTCTTAGAAAACCATTTTTTTTCAGCTAGTTATTCTCCATTTACCTGTGCAGACCCTGCATGGTGGACTCTGCCCCTAGCCTCTGATATATCTCTTCTCTGCTTTCTATTATGGCAAATAACATTTAAAAACAGTGGAAAGCAAAATTTTGACATAGACTTAGGAAGATAAGTAGTAAAAACTGTTTTGAAATTCAATTTCAAAGGTACTTTTATGCCATTGATTGTGAGAATTGTGAGAACTAAGTCTGCCCAGAAATTAAAGCGTATTGGATTTATTCAAGGAATAAACTAACTAGCAAGTAATGTCACAGAGGTAGCAACCTTTTAAATTATTGTTAACCAGCTTAACATATTAAAATATATTGGCATGTTTGACCTTGTCATAATTTAACTAACAAGTCTAATTTGCAAACATTACACAACTTACATGGTTTGTTTGGAAAAAAAAACTGCAAAGTTTTTCACTTTTGACGATATGTCAAACATCCTGAAGCTCACATTGAGCCTGCTTAGCATCAGGGCTGTTGCGAACTTCTGCATTAGCGTTTGTATGCTCATGGAGCGTTCAAAGACAGCTAGGAAAAAAACGTTACACACTAAGAATGTGTTAACTTGTTGTAACCGTTAAACGACAGCCATATTTTGTTTAGGAAAAATCAAGACAAGAGCAGGGATTGCTTAAAAATGTGACCATGATGGTAGGAAGTAACTATTTAATGAAAAAAAAGCTTTGAATTTTGCCTCTTAATACTTTATTCCAGGACAGGATGCGCGTCAGCTCATCAACCCACCAAAAACAACAGAAGAGTTGGAGAAGGAAGCTCTTGAGGGACATGAAGCTTACATTCAGAGTCACAATTCCTATTTTCCGGGTAAGATGTGTCGGGATTTTTCTACGAAAAGTTTTTTTTGCTCTGTTCAAAGTCCTTTTTGAAATTAAATCTTTTAACTATTTCGTTTTCCCTGTTTCTTAGGTGAGCAAATTGACAGAAAGTATGAATCTAATAACTTCAATAAAAAGAGCTGCTTTGGGATTCCCACGCCACACTTCAGCGACGGCCGTAATCTCTGCAAAGCTCTTCGCGGGTTAGACTCTTGCAGGTACGTTTTTTAAGTTGACTTACTCAGAAATTCAGGTGAGATTTTACTAATATCTTCTTAGAAGTTTTCTTGTATCTGATTCATGGAAATGTTTCTAAATGAATATTTATTACAGGATAAACTTTCCAAATCCCAGTTGGAAGAGAGCTGGGACCAAAGAAAAACTAGCTTTACAACTTGGCCAAACCACCAACATGTACAGGTGCTGGTCATAAAATTAGAATATCATGAAAAAGTAGATTGATTTCAGTAATTCCATTTAAAAAGTGAAACTTGTATATTATATTCATACATTACATACAAACTCATATATTTCAGATGTTTATTTTGTTTAATTTTGTTGATTACAAATGACAACAAATGAAAATCTCAAATTCATCATATCAGAAAATTAGAATATTGTGAAAAGGTTCAAAATTGATGGCCCCTGGTGCCACACTCTAATCAGCTAATTAACTCAAACCACCTGCAAAAGCCTTTAAATGGTCTTTCAGTCTAGTTCTATAGGCTACACAATCATGGGGAAGACTGCTGACTTGACAGTTGTCCAAAAGACGACCATCGACACCTTGCACAAGGAGGGCAAGACACAAAAGGTCATCGCTAAAGAGGCTGGCTGTTCACAGAGCTCAGTGTCCAAGCACATTAATAGAGAGGCGAAGGGAAGGAAAAGATGTGGTCGAAAAAAGTGTACAAGCAAGAGAGATAACCGCACCCTGGAGAGGATTGTGAAACAAAACCCATTCAAAAATGTGGGGGAGATTCACAAAGAGTGGACTGCAGCTGGAGTGAGTGCTTCAAGAACCACCACACACAGACGTATGAAAGACATGGGTTTCTGCTGTCGCATTCCTTGTGTCAAGCCACTCTTGAACCACAGACAGCGTCAGAAGCGTCTTGCCTGGGCTAAAGAGAAACAGGACTGGACTGCTGGTGAGTGGTCCAAAGTCATGTTCTCTGATGAAAGTAAATTTTGCATTTCCTTTGGAAATCAAGGTCCCAGAGTCTGGAGGAAAAGAAGAGAGGCACTTCATCCACGTTGCTTGAAGTCCAGTGTAAAGTTTCCACAGTCAGTGATGGTTTGGGGTGCCATGTCATCTGCTGGTGTTGGTCCATTGTGTTTTCTGAGGTCCAGGGTCAACGCAGCCACATACCAGGAAGTTTTAGAGCACTTCATGCTTCCTGCAGCTGACCAACTTTTTGGAGATGCAGATTTCATTTTCCAACAGGACTTGGCACCTGCACACAGTGCCAAAGCTACCAGTACCTGGTTGAAGGACCATGGTATCCCTGTTCTTAATTGGCCAGCAAACTCTCCTGACCTTAACCCCATAGAAAATCTATGGGGTATTGTGAAGAAGAAGATGCAATACACCAGACCCAACAATTCAGAAGAGCTAAAAGCCACTATTAGAGCAACCTGGGCTATCATAACACCTGAGCAGTGCCACAGACTATTCGACTCCATGCCACGCCGCATTGCTGCAGTAATACAGGCCAAAGGAGGCCCAACTAAATACTGAGTGCTGTACATGCTCATACTTTTCATGTTCATACTTTTCAGTTGGCCAACATTTCTGTAAATCCTTTGTTTTTATTGGTCTTCAGTAATATTCTAATTTTCTGATATGATGAATTTGAGATTTTCATTTGTTGTCATTTGTAATCATCAAAATTAAACAAAATAAACATCTGAAATATATGAGTTTGTATGTAATGTATGAATATAATATACAAGTTTCACTTTTTAAATGGAATTACTGAAATCAATCTACTTTTTCATGATATTCTAATTTTATGACCAGCACCTGTAGGTTCATTTTTTGGTCTATTGCTGAATTTTCTCATCTTCAACTAAAGTTTGGCACATTTTACTTAAAAAACCCCTTTGTCTGTGCAGAAGGAAAAATACTTTGACCCTTCCATCTGAATTCAGACTTGGGATTGTCACTCCATCACATCCATGCGGTAAAAAGGCCTTAATATGTGCTGAACTGGGAAAAAACTGGGAATCCTCTCAATGACAACAAAAAAATCATATCAGGCTGTTTTTCTCCACAGGTGCTGGAGATTTTATCTACTGTACCGAGCCGGGGGAATTTGTGAAAGGTCTAGACGTTCAACGAGGCTTAGTTAGCGCACTGAGACACCGCCTTAAGATAGCAAACTTGCAAAACTTCCCCTCTCTGCTAAAAGCTTTCAGATATTATGACAAGGTATGGATAAGATTTCTACAGACAACCATAACTAAGCTTTCAGTCTGATGTGGTACGTCTTACACAAAGATAGTGTCAATCGTTATGCTACTCTGATGTTTGCTAGATAAAGATCTAAGATAAGAGAGATAAGATATGACAAATCTTTGTCATAAACACTTTTGCAAGGGGCAGTACAAGGAAATTGAAAGGTGGTGTTGACTCAGTGTTATAAACAATAACAAATTAAATTTGCAATAAGAATAAAAGAAGCTATAAAATTGTAATAAAAAGACATGAAGCAGTTTTACTGTGAGTTTAGGGCCACAGTGGTGGAGTAAAAGCTGTTTCTAAGGCTCTTTGTCCTGGTTTTCATTACTCTGTGTCTCTTGCCGTATGGCAGAAGTTGTAAGAAGCAATGAGCTGGCTGTGATTAGTCCTATAAAATGTCTCTTGCCATTCATTGTGCAGTGATTTGTCCTAGCTCTTGATTACCCTTTGAAGGCTTTTCTGTACCATACACACAGTCTGTATGTTAGCACATTCTTATTGGTACAGTTACAGACGCACAGTCCTCCTCCAGCTTAAAGCCCAACAACCATATCGTCGCTATCTGCTTCACACTAAATCAATGATGAATATAACTGGCGAAAAGACTACCTAGATATATTTTTGTCAAAAAGCAAATCTTTAACACCTCATAGAAATAAAAGGAATTAAAAATAAACTAAGTTTTCTTAAGAGTTTTTTAACTCAACTAATGGTCTGCATAATTGTTTATAAACATGTGGGCAAGGTACCCCTTGTTTAATGGAAGAAAAACCCAGAATAGGTTCCAAAAAATGTTATAAAAATGAACAAATAAAAGTCAGTTATTGGTTTTAAACCATGCTTCGGCAGAATGATTAAAACAAACAGAAACTCTTTTGACAGGCCTGATGATGATGGTACCCCGAGAGAAGACAATAATGTGAACAAAGGGAAATGTTAAATAGAGTTGTGTCCACTAATTGCCATCATAGGTTTCCAGAATCTTGTAAACAGTCGTTGGGTCTACATATAGGGCTACAGGTAGTCACTGCAGTTTAGTGACATGGTGTGTACCACACTCAACATGGACCAGAGGAAGACAAGCAAAGAGTTGACTCAAGAGATTAAAAATATATGTAAAATAGACAGCGATAAACTGTTTGCTTGTGTACCTGAAGAAAGCAGTACTCTGTATGGTACAAATTAGCAGATTATGATTCTTTGGTCCAACAGATTTTGTTATGGGCAGCTTTTAATTTAAGTAGTTTAGAGTTTTATTTTTTTGCTTTTATTTTATTGTAGTCCGACTTGATGTTTTGATGGATTTAAATGCCCTGCAGTTTGCTTTGTGACCCATTTCACTAATCAAGTATAAGTATTCCTGTGTTTAAAACGGGCTAATTTAGGTCATAAAGTCATTGTTATTTTTTTGCATGCTTACATTTTAATCTATGTTTAAGTCCAGCTTTGAGAGATATCATTAATTTTATACTCTTCAGCTGTAATAAGATTACATGGCATAGTTCATCACACACTCAGTGCAACAAAACCATATTTGTATATAAAAAAAACTGAGTAATTTATTTTTCTCATGAAGGGGTAATATGCATTAGTTTATGCTATAATAGTAAATTTTTCTACAGAAATTAAGTGGACTACAGGATTATTGTAAACAATCTGTTATGTATGATGCACTTTTTGCCCAAACCTATGTAAATAATGCATATTGTTCTAAACTGAAACCTGCAGTCATTCAACGCTGTATGAACACATTTGGGGCCAAAGAGAGGCTTTTTCGCCATTATTCAACTATCCATGTGTTAAAATATTTTCACCAGAAAGGAATATTTTTCAGACATTTTTGTGTTTTTTTTGTTTTTTTTCACCAGAAAGGACAGGGTCTGATTGACAAAGAAGACCTGCAGGCAGTCTGTCATGAATTCAACCTGGAAATAAGTGATAAAGTCCTGGATGATCTGATGGAATACTGTGATACAGACAAGGATGGATTCATCAACTTTGTGGAATTTGCTAATTTCCTAAACTGGAAGAACAGGATGCCGATCAGCGGTCAGTTAAAGATGTTAATGTTTGGATGAAAGTTTTGAACGAACCATCACCTCTAACTCTCAGATAAAGAATGAAATGAACAATTCTTATTTTCCCTGAAACCACTTGTCATTTCTGAATCATTAACATTTCTGGTGTTTGGGTTTTTTTTTTTCCCTGCAGAGTGCCGCTCCTACTCTGCTGCAGTCAATGTGGGCAGAAAACCTTCATCAGAGCCACAACAACCTCTTTTCCCCCAGGATTTGATCCGGCCTGAGGACCTGGAGCCCATCGAACCAGGCAGCTCACAGAAAACTGTCAGGACACTCAGGAGACCCAAGGCATCTTCAGACCACTTCTCCACCGCTGCCTCAGAGATAGGGGCTTACATTGATGTGCCGCCTAAATTAAGTGAGTCAGGAGAAGGGCTTTGTCTGGACAAATAACGCCAATTTACACTAGCTTATTTCCAAAATAGTAGTTGAATTAGTAATAATTTAACCATAAAGAGACTAGTTAAGAAGCCTAATAATGTATACAGAGTAAGAACCAATAGTAAAATGAGACAGCACTTACTGTATTTTATGGTTTATGATTGCAGAATACAAAACAATATATTTATCAAACCAAGTTTCTGTTTTACTAATTAGAACCTTTCTAGCAGATTCTATAAATTTGTTTTCCTGTTTAATATACTTATTGTTCAGATGGCCGCACCTATGGGATCCCATCCGGGCGCTTTGACATTCCAGCTCCACGTATCAAAAGAATCAATGACAGGATCAACTACAGTGATTTATCCACAGCTGCAGATGTCATATTTCCACCAGTTTATGCTCAATGGGGCGTTCAAAAGGAGGACTTCTTCTGTCCTCGCACCAAGAAGGAGGTGAGCTGGGAACCTGAGCTCAGAGCTAATAAAAAGTATGTCTTGGTAGAACAGAAGAACTAGAATTCAGAAATCCCTGGGCATTACAGATGGAAAGCACAAGGATGATCCTTGTCAAATTGGGACTACAGCCCTTTTGAAATTAACTAGAAAAGCTACACAAATGTAGTTAACAGCTGAAGATGTCCATTACAAACCCCAAAAACATATGACGGTGTACATTAGCATGTGTCACCCATGGTAGAAGAAACACTTGCCTTTATTTTTTAACTCTGAGGTGGGCTGTGCCTCTAAATCCTGGCATCCTTCTTCCTCTTCCTACCTCCTTCCTCCTCGGACAGCACTTATTATGGTGACCGCTGACACTTCCGCTTTGGCCTAAGAACCTTACTGGTTTGCATTATTCGGATGGACCCCTTTCTATGCAGTGGAGCTCGACAATGCAGAAGATTTCAACTAGTCTCTGTACAGGCTTTTTACTGTCTGAACCTGGGTTACCCACTTACGTTATAAAAATGTAGATGAATCCAGATAGATCGTAAATAACTCCTATAGAATCCTGTCACCTAGTTGCATTCGTAACCAGCTGCAGACAGTCCTAATAAATTCTTCCACCCAGTGAAATCCAGTGCATCATTTAATTCAAATTTTTGAAAGTTTTAAAACTTCTTAGAAGTTTATTCTAAGCTGCTGTCATGTTGCTTATATTGTCATGTGCAGCATATAGGAGTATTACAAATCTGTTTACTTTTATGTCAAAGTACAAAGAATTGAAGATAATTTAATCAAATTATTCCCTCATCCTCCTAGAGCTCTTCTGTTTCTCCAGTTTGTGTCTCAGGATGAAAGGAATTCAGTGATCCATTTCACTGGAAGGGAGAACACTGCTTTACGTTGACATCCCATCTTGATGTAGTGTTTAAACATTTTCTAAGCAGATAGGAAATGTTTAAAGCTCATCATCCATCTGTGAGGGCCCCTAAAGATTTATCAGCTGAATTTATCAGAAAATAGCTTGGGCACTTGTCAGCTGGCGCAAGCCCAAGCATTTAGAAAACTGAGGTGAGCCTATGCATAATGTAGTATGAATGAACTATCCATCCTTCCATCCATATTCTAACACGCGAGGGGTGCTGTTGCCCATCTCCAGCTGTCAATGGACGAGAGGCGAGGACCCTGGACAGGTCGCCAGTCCATCGCAGATAAATGAACTATATATATTTAAATATTTCTTTAAAAACTTTTTTAATGTAAATCCAAATACATTTATATGAGATATACTGCAAAAGGCATCTCATAGTTGCCATGCTCATGCATAAGGGCAAATGTATAGCTCCAATGCAGCAGATAGGGATGTGAGGAGGAATTGCTTTGGCCAAAAATACATGACAGCTTGGTTTGAAGATCAAATCCTGTATGCTACAGTATTGACTGCAGTGATGAAGCATTTCTTACCAAAGACGTCCTTAAGCAACTGAAATAAAATACTTTTGTGTAAAGTTGGTATGAGGAATATAGCCTCCGACGTTGCAGTAATTCCCTCTCACCAAGCAGGTGGCAACAGTGGCCGGCAACTTCTCAGTTTTAACAAAGCGAAAACAATAGACTTTCAGTAATGGGCACCTTTACTTTATTTTATGAGTTTTGAGTTCCTTTCACAGCGGGAACTGCTCCAGTACATTCAATTAGAGTCCAACAGTTATTTATTTTAATTGGGGGACCGTAATCATTTATCATCTTAATCATTCATAGGAAGTAATGCAATGTATACAGAAAATGTTACAAAATGTAGATAGTTTTTGTAGTTGATGCAATCTTGTAGAAATACATGAAATATTGAATTATGACTTCTTTTTACCTTCTGGTTCCAGATTCATCAGATATTCATGAATATTGGTGCGAACATTTCTGAGGAAACATTTGAGGAGGCCTGGAAGCTGGCCGCCTTGAAGCACCCACATGGAGAAGTTTGTGTGGATGTCTTCCATAACACACTCAAGGAAATAAAAGCATTGTAAATCAAAATCTTGCTGATAATGTAATTATTTTTTTTATCTTTAATATGACAATATTTGAATTGATGCAACAAAACAATAATTCCTGATTTTTAGTCAGTTTTTCATCTTAAGGAGCCTTTTTTTTTTCTATTTCAATTTCCATTCAGTTTATTTATATAGTGCCAAATTTACAACACGTCATCTCAAGGCACTTTACAGTTCAACCAGATCATACAGTCAAATAGATTCAAAGTTTTCTATCTAAGGAAAACCAGTTGATTTCATTGACTCATTGACTCAAATACAATCCCTCACTCTAAGCATGCTTGTAGCGACAGTGGAGAGGAAAAACAGGTGAAAATCCAACACTGTATTTGTTGAATTTTGAAGGGATTATCTGAGGACCTGAATAACAGTAGGCAGGTTAAGCTTTGCTTTCATTATGGGGATGTAAAGAAGGCAAGTTTATTTACACACATGGACATATGTAAAGTCCGACTTTCATTTGTCCATTTTCATAGATTCTCTTTTATTATTACTTCTGTCAGATTCTAATAATTTCTGTGACCATTACGGTTTTTCTTTTATTAAATGTGGGGTATTAACAGGTGCTGAGGAACAGAATGAAGGTGCTTGAGGTCCGATCTTTGATGGCTCCATTTTATCTGCTGGTGTCCACAGTGTTTCACTGACCAGTCAGTAGAGCTGCTTTGAAGAAAATGTTAGAGCACGTATCCCTCTATTTAGTGGCTATATAAAGATTACTTTTTTTTTTTATTCCAGCTGGACATGGCTCCTGCCACACTGTCAAAGGTGATAATACCTGCTTCAAGGTATTATAATGCTTAACTAGCCACAGACCTGTACAGACTATACCCCATAAAGAAAAACACTGAGTATTGTCCAAAGGAAGGTAGGCCAGCAAGTTCCTGCCACAACCCCTCATGTCAGTATCTGACGTGCAGGGGACTCTACAAGCGTCAATGTTTGACAAACTGGGAGAGAGAAAGCTTTGGATTATATAGTGTCAGCTGCTCTGCGGAAAAAAAACAACTCAAATTATTCAGTTTTCAGTTAGATTATATTACATTAGATTTACCAACATTGAACAGAGTGAGACAGCTTAATCCAATTAGAAGGGTTGGATTAAATTAATTAATGACACAGGCTGGCACTTAGCAGAGGCTAATCTAAATGCAGCAACAAAACAGTTAAAAACTATGTGAAAAATCAGCTTTGTGTGCATGTAGGTGATTCACAGGCATGCTAAATTGTTTAAAGTGTTCTCACCGTGCACATATTGACATGAGCCAGGCCAGCCGCACTCATTTAATCTCATTAAGACTCCACAAGACATTCAGCCGGAACAGAAAAGCCCACGCAAACTTCTAGACAGCCCTTATTAATATAGCAAAAAATATAATATAATCCGCCTCATCTGTCATCAGGCATGAATAAATGAGCGGCTAATGATGGCATCCATTCTGTTTTACAGATAATGTTTTGTTCTCATTAATAATGCAGGAGACAGTTTGAAGAATGTGTCGACGGAGCAGTTATGAACTGGTTTTATGTGATGTTTTTAATCGGCGACATGTTTCTAACAGGTAAGACACCATGCCGAGGGGGAGAATTTTGGCACTTTTCCTTGTTTACACTAAAAGACGTAATTATGTTGGAAATATTTCCAAATTGAAAGAGAATGACATACCTAATGAATTACCCATTCAGTCGCTGGGTAAATACATAGAGTGGATGCGCTGAGTTTTTTTCAGCTGAATAAAAACTACACTGTAATAAATTTTGGATCAAAGGAGGAGCTTAAAAAGTTAACACACAGCTTTAATTACTTTAACTACACACCAGTGATTCAACCTGGAACGTAAACTGTTGGAGGAACATGGACAGTAACAAAGCCTGCCTTCTATCATCTGAAGAACATCCTCAAGAACGAAGGAATACTGTCTCAACAGGATTCCAAAAGGATTTTTCCTGTTTATCTTTGGTAGAATTGATTACTGCACCGGTCTGTCTAAAAAGCAGCTGATTCAGAATGAGGCTGCCAGCGTTCTCACTAAAACTAAGAAAGTGGAGCACTTTACCCTGGTTCTGAAGTCATTTCATCTGATCGCCATATCTCAGAGAATAGACTTTAAAATACTACTGTTGGGCTATAAAGCAGAGTGTCTTAACACTATATAATATTACAGACCTACTCTTCTGGCTCAAATCGACTCTGCAAACCCAGAACCAAACATAGAGAAGCAGCTTTTAGTTCTCATGTCCCACTAAGATTTCCAGAAAACTGTCTAAGTGATGAAAGCCTGAGTTCTTTTAAATCATACTTAAAAAAAAACAATTCTGATAACGCACACCTCTTTGAATTCACTTCTTATTGAAATGTTCTTTAAATCTACTTGATGTACCTTTTAAATGCACTCAATGTGGTGCTGAATTAGTAAGTTTGCTCCCTTATGAAGAAACTAACCGTTCTTCTTTTATACAATTGTCTGATTAAATACAAAATAAATTGCTTAAACAGGTAATCAATTTCCACATTAATTGATCTGATCCCCAAAAAAGGGGGAAACTATGATATGGCATTGAAGTATACAGATAAGTCAACCAGCTCATCTACAGGTTGAATTTCTTCCATTTTAAACACCACTAAGCAAGACTAAAATGCTGTGAAAAGACTTTCAAGGAATAATAAATTTACACATTAACACATGGATGGTGGGGGGTTACTTAGTAGCTACAGCAGGCCTGAGGGAGACCATTAGCAAGGCTGCCATAGTTTATCCACCAGTCAGACTGACCACCGCTTCACAGCCAGCCTGTGTGTGAAGCGTCTTACCCAAGGACACAATGGCAGAGATGGATGAAGTGAGGGCTTGAAGCGGAAACCCACTGCTCACAGAACAAACCCCTACCTCCTGAGTCACCATCAGGAAAAGCTGGCAGGTCTCCAAAAGGCAGAATGGGCTAAATCATTGAGTATATAATAATTTCTCATTTCTGAATTGAGTTAAACAATGTTTTTATGCATTTGGGGAGAAAAAATCTAAAGGCAGGCAAACGGCTCAAGAAGAAAGGCTGCATCCACCTCTAAGGAGAAGTTGTGCAGATGATGCATATTCTCAATCACCTTCATTTCCTGGTAATCAGCGCCCCCAAGTGGGCAACCAGCAACCTAAAGAAACCTGTTCAGGCTTCCTTTTTTGACTCCTTTCATCAAAGATGTGTGAGATGAAAATCATACAAATAGAAACCATCAGTGGTGCATTACAAGTATTCTGCAGCATCACATTCCTTAATCTGCTTGGTAAATAAACAACAGCCTTTGTTCTCTAGAAGAAAATATGGAATACTGTGAATTACACCAGCTTTGTGGAAAAGGAGCTACTTCACCTAAAACAATATTAAAGTGCACCTTTATCTATTAAGTTCCTAAAATATCGATCCCACACTTTAATATCACTGAAGAAAATATTTCTGTTCTTCGTTTATTTGTATTTTTTTTAAGAACACAAAGAAATCAGATTATGACTTATTTTCATAATAATTATTGTTGTGTTTACCATTGATTTATTGGGAAGGTAAGAACTTCTCTTTATCCCAGCTGGATTCCAAACACTGAACTAATGCTTGTTATCCAACAGTTTAATTGTAAATCTGTGCAAATGCTTGTTTTTTATTAAACAACACACACACAGCAAAGTGTTGCATCTGGGCCATTACATCTCCAAATCATTCACTAGCCTCCATTTATTAATACCAATGATTGTTTGGAAAGAAAGGCAGTAAAAATTGAAATATGTTGAAACAAGTGAACTCTGGTCAAACCTTAACTGGAGTTGCATGCTTTCATCAGCTGGGACTAATCCCACAGGGAAATAAAAAAATATTGCATACAATTTTCTATTTTTTTAAAGAATTTGGATATAATAAGGCATGATAAAAAGGATACTCCAACATTACCTGTCCACACATTCGACAATGCAGTATTCATGGTTTCCTCCCCTGATTATATAAGAAAAAAACCTGGGACAGAGTTGTTTGGCGTTGTCAAACATTTCAGAACATGAGCGCTGTTTCTCCAATACCAACTTAAATGCAGCAATAAACACCAATAAACATAGCTTGATCTCCCATGAGGCTAACAGTTACTCGCCTTTACAGTTACAGGATTGAGAAGCTTAATCTGAAACCATCACCTGCAAATCTGATTATTTTAACTACTAACTAACCACTGGGAGGCAGTGACAACCTTAAAAAAAAAACAAAAAAAACACATCATTTTTATTTGTTTTTAGTCTGCAATGCATTTTCACCAGACAAACAGATATTACCACCTTCACTAGACAACATTAGATCTTTATTGGAACGTTAAGCTTTAGGTAGCTCCAGCCAACAGGGACAGCGCATTATCAGCACGGCCTGTAAATAGACTGATGAACTGAAACCCCTAAAGGCTGCAGCAGAATCAGCACTTAGGTTGCTTCTTGTTATACGAGGATCAGACTCCAAGAAGACAATTCTGCTGATGCAGACTGCTGTAAATATGATCTGTGATGTAAGCAGGTATGGTGGTGTTCAGGTAATAAATTAAGGCTCACGAGTGTAATAAAGATGAAGCAGTTTATTTATAGAAAACAATAGAAAACGCAATCCTGAGGAACATTCCAGACTTTGGTAAAATGGTTTGAAACAATTCCTTCAGAATGAAAAAAAATAAAAATAAACTTCTGTTCAGCTGATGGTTTCACAGGCTGTTTGGGAGATTGCATGCGTACCATCTGCTGAAGAATCACAGATTTCATGTTTTATGTTGGCAAAGTCTGAAAAAAGAACTAAAGGCAGAAAAACTTAAAAGGAGTGTTGGGGAAAAAAAGCAACAAAAAAACAAAAAAAAGTTAATATCAAATTAAAATGTTCTGGAGCATTAAAGGCATCAAGGGAATAGTTCAAGTGGGGTATGGGTTTGTTTGCAGGTATGCTAAAAGCAGGTTTACCCATTTTCATTGCCTGGCTTTTCCAGTAGGAACATTAAAGAACAGTTTTTAAGAGGTCTTAAAAGTCAGGTATAAATCATCCACAGATGAACAAAATTCTGAAAGTTTTAAGAAACACAGGACCATAAATTCTGGGAAATAACACCATCCTGGTTCTTTCCTTTTGTAGCCATTTTGGTGAAGATGTGTGGAGAGGCAGGTTTGAGAGTCTGATGATCATCCAGTTGGGGCCAAATTTAGACCAGGTATCTGCAAACCATACATAATAAAATAACCCCTTTCTTTAGACCAGATAAAGAAAATGTACTGCCACCAACCTATCATGACCTTTTCAATAAATGACAACCTATAGTTCCTCACAAATATCTACTATAAATAAATAAAATGTTCATATTAAACGAGCATCACAACTTTGACCTTGGGTGAATTTTTGGGATCTTGAGAGGATTGACAGATTACTAAAAAAAAGTGTCTTCTTGACTTAAAACACCTTGGAAAATGCTCTGTTCCCATTTCCACATCGATAGGCAGCAAAAATAAAACCTCTCTGGAATCCCTGCTAATTTTTCTCCATAGTAACATTGTGTCGACACACACACACATGGTATGGTGATCGAAAAGACGATGTTGAAACATGTACCTTCTTTACTTTGGCCTTTAATGTCATCCCCATTTTTCATTTGCTAAGAAAGAAGATAGCAAAGATTTCAGCACCCGTCTGAACCCTTGCTGAAGTGATGAGCAACAACAGCGTCACAATGCCAAAAGAGAGAAAACATGGCATCATGTTAGCTTTGCAACATTTTACTTCTTCCACCCAAAACGATGGAACGGTGTTATATGTCCAAACTTGTTGGCCTGGGTTTTTTATTAACCTAATTTTATACCAATCAAACAATTCATATTTATTGTTCTTTAAGGTAAAACCTTAATGAATTGGGGAAAAAAAGTGTCACCATACTTCTCAGCCATGGCTGAATGTTCTGCTGAGTTCTGAGAGCATCTGAGCTTTAAGTCTTTTCTCCCATGAGTGAAATCTGCTCCTTCAAACATTGTAAATTCAGCAGGCGGTCGTCCCGTTGCATCCTGGGAACTCACTCAGCAGCTTTCCAGTGCCAGTGCCAGACCGTAGTTACCGTCCAATCAGGAGAGACCCCTGGCTTTAGCTCTCCGTGGAATCTGTAGACGGGAGATGATTAGAACTGGATTAGTTCATTTCTAACTCCTTGAGAAAATAACTAAAGCCATAAGGTCTGACATTAGAATGCATTTTTGATTGGGTTTCACCTTAAACGCGTGGTGCTTTTATGGTATAGATCAACTAAAAGCAGGAAAAGAAGCTAAATGGGACCCAATTATTTTTCTGCAAATGCTATAAACAGGATTCCTACAGCATAAGGCAAGTTAAATTCAAGACTTAAGACTTTTTAATGTCACTTGAAAAAAATGTAAGACCAAATTTACAAGAAACACAAGAAAAACCCGCTTGCGACAACTTAACCCAAAGGTTTATTTTAACATAAACCACTGCACTAATGTTTCAAATTTTGAAAAGCTTCCCATACAGGAAGAAAGCTAAAAACACACAAATGACAGATATATTTTAACAATTATTTAACTAAATTCACAAACTTTGTTTTAGCAGGGAACAAAACAAATCAGTTTTAAAGCCACAACATAACCAGTGCTAAGTCTTTTTTGCAGCTATTTTTCTTTGTATCGTTTTCTTAGTAAGTTTGATTTGGTGATAAGTGGAGGTGTTGCAGAGACAACGGTGGAACAAAACTGAGAAATACCGGCTGTTTCTCGGTAACTCGGTGCAATGCTTGCACACTGTTGCACTTTTATCCACAACTTTCTTTCTGCCGTCATCGTAGGTCACTCTAAATGCAAAGCGCTCCCATACAGCAGACCTATAAAGTGCTGCTGGTGCGTCTTCCAGCTCCTGTTCTTTCCCACTCGCCATACCCACACAATTCTCCACAACAACTGATTTTTTTCTGCTACACCCGACTACGCTGCTTCGCTTCTTCTTCTTGTTTACTACTGGTGGTTGGCTTTGGTCGCAATACCACCACCTTCTGCTCAGGAGTGTAAACGCTTCGCCTATGAGAAAAAGGAGCAGCGCATGAACCGAACGCAACACACGCGAACCGAACCAAGACAGTCGAACCGAACGGTTCGGACGGTTTTCATAAACCGTTCCATCCCTACTAGTCAAGCACATATACTTCCCATAATCGGGACAAAAGTAGTATTGTAGCAAAGACAAAAAGTTAGCTGCATTCCACTTCAAAATGCAGGAAATAACATTTCAAAGAGTCCGGCAGGGGTCCGGGGAAGATACCCTGTATCCCTCTAAGCCGCACAAATAAACAACACCGTTTTGGATAGTTTTTTAGTTTTTTTACACTTTGATGGGGTGTTTTTTTTTCCCCCCAGTCAAATCGAAAATATTCAATAGGGGGTTTTCAGTGACGTCCCTGGCCAGCTTCCGGTCCGCCATCTTGGGTGGCATATTATCGTATATCATATATATCATGTCACGAATGGATAAGTACACCAGCACGCTAGAGCCACCAGATCATGGAACATATCTGAGGAAATGTTCCGTGATCGACCACATGGACCCCTATGCCCTCCACGGTGCCTTGTTTAGCACTAATCCAGATGATTGGCCAAATGTAGAGCATGGTGACATAGTTCATTACCTGGTGTTCAGTGAAAACCCTCTGCACACTCTTGAGGAAATGAGAGCGTACAAGGGTCTAGAGGCTCACAACCAGTTCACATCTGGTTGGGTACGAGATGTCGAAGTGATGTACATGAAGGAAATGGCCATCATACGTGGATGGGTGAGTTTTAATAAGATGGTAAAAATGTAAACAATCCGACGCTATGCTAGGTGGCTAACGGCCGGCGGTGCGCGAACAGTTCCAAAGCTACAAGTCCTTGGAGTCTCATGTGCAGTTTACGAATGGATGAGTTCAGGAGCTGCAGCTCATAAAGCCAGCAAACAGTGCTAACCGTTAGTGCTAACAACCACTCAGGCATGTAATGTACTTTTAACTAGCTGCTATGTGTTTCAAAGGTTTAGTTAGTAACGTTAACTGCCAAACCTCCCTAAACCCTCCGGGTTTCTCACATATTTGAGCCTTTTCCCGCTGGTTGAAATCAAGTTAAGGTGAAATTAATCAAATTAAAACACGGCTGAGAGAGGGAGTCCAGTACGCGGTAGTCATAAGCAGTAGTCTGAGTAGCGGCGGCAAAGACGGTCAACATTGCGGCCACGGAAAGTAATACGTCATGACGCCCAAGCCCTATTATTAATATATTCTTACATGTTTTAAATGCTTGACAGTTAATTACCTGTGACAAAGTGAGCACTGCAGACTCTGGCGTATTCCAGCTTAACACCGTCCAAATCGGACCTGGATATCCGTGTCAGCCATAGGTGACGGCGTTGTTCAGATAGCTGTTTTGTTTTTTCACATTGATTCACGATTACGGCTGGTATGCGATAGAGCGTTGATCTCCACCTCCACGGGCCGTGCAACCAACAATTACACACGATTTCACCATTTTTCACTGTCAATATTGCCTAAGACTGCCACCCAATATGGCGGACGCGCTGAGTAGTCACATGAGCGTAACATCACCTGAAAACCCCCTATTGTGCAAAACTGCAATGGAAAAACTTTTTTCACACGAGTAACATGACCTGCAACTGGACCTTACTGCATTGGAAATAGAAGAACAGGAGTAGTTGGAGGATGATGGATCCCTCCAGATCAGTGGAAGAAATATGGATATGTCTCACAAGAGTTTACATCCACTGCTTCCTTGTTGTTACCCTGAGTTATCCAAGAGCAAACATATTCACATGCACTTTAAATTGCATTTCTTATTTCGTGTAAAATGTTGCACATTTTTAATGGAAAAGCAATTATAGACTGTCTCCATCGAAACTGATTTAGCTTTAGGTGTTCTGCAAAGAATGATGGGTAATAATTTCTGTTTCTAATGATAGTGGAGCCTTTCCCCAAAATACATGAAGCTGTGATAGCAGCAAAACATGGCTCAACAAATTATTAATCTTAGGGGGTCCGATTACAAATGCTCTCCACACTTTTCAGATCAGGATAAAAATAATGAATTTCTTTCATTCTACTTCAAAATTATACAACAAGCTGTGTTAGTTTATCACATAGAAAACTTGTATATAAAATGTGAGAAGTTTTAAGGAGTGTTAATAACTTTGTAAAGCGATTGTGAAAGAAGCTTCCTCATCCAGCTTAGCAGTCTAACGATCTGTTCGTCTTTGGGATAAGGCTTGGAGGTAACAGGCTTTCTCTGAGGGGAGCCTATAAACCTTAACTCTGTCTAACCCGATCAGGTCGGAGGTATTAGGTAGAGCAGAGAAGAGCAGAAAGAGGCTTTGAAGGTTGGATTCGGGTGTGAACCAATTTCCTCATTTTGTTTAATCAGCAGCTTCTAAAAAAAAATAGAATCCTTTTTTTTTTTTTTTTTTAACTATACTTACATAAATTTGGTTTTCAGCATTATATTACAAATATAACATCAAAGTAACTAAATCTGGTGACGGCGATTGCTCTTGCTTGGGGAGCCCAGAACTCACTCATAAACAGCAGTTGCCAGTTTCTTGTGGGGATTCCCGTCTTCGCTTGAGGCCACCTTGAAGATTTTGGTGCCCTCTGGGTCGTCAGGACCCTCGTGCGACGACACGAGCCAAAACCTCATGACGACGAAACAGAACTTCCTCCCTGCAGGAAGAAGGTTGGGATTTAAGGAGACCATTGTGGGGTTTAAGTGGAAGCAGAGATGGTGTGAAAGCTTCGAGGAATCGTACGTTTTTTCAGGATGAACACTTTTAAATCAGAGGTTGAGAGGAACAGCTTCTTCTTCCGTGTTCCACATCCAGCTTAGCAGAACTCACCATGCTCATCAAAGACCACCGAGATGTCCTCGGGGAGCAAAAATATGATGTCCTCCATGTTGACAGCAAGCTGCTTCCTCTGAGCCTTAGTGAGAGGTTTGCACTTCTCCTCCACATATTCCCTCATCTTTAGACATAAAACAAGGAGACATTTTGGGATTTTTCTACAAAGAAACAATTCTGAATCGATTCATTTGATTCTAAACACTAAACCTGACCCTGCTGTTCTGTGGGTGAAGCCATCTTAAGTTAAAGGTTATTGTGTTACCTCATCGCTCACAAGCCCTTTCAGTTCATGGTATCTGCCGCTGGACATCTTACTGGAAACCTGAACCAACGCCTAGGATGGAGGAAGGAAAGATGTTAGTTAAACTGTCATGATTTTATTGGGAAACACGTATTTGCTTTTTATTCTTTACATTTCTATTTCACTAATTTTGTACAGAGCTTGGTGATGCATAGTCCATCAGACCGCCTCAGGTACATTACTGGCTGGCAGAATGTGAATGCATGGAGATTAGGGCTGCAACCAACTATTATTTTGCAAATTGATAAATCTGTGGATAATTTTTAAAATTATTATTCGGACAGCCAAAGGTTCCTTAAAGAAGAATTTTTAAAAAATGAAACGAGGTGAAACTAAAACTTTTCCACTGGAGACGTTCTGGATAGAGCATATTCACAGACGAAAAAGTTTTTTTTTTTTTTATCTCTAATGCAAAATGTTTACATATTTTCTGTTACAATCTTGGTATAAATGCTGCTCTAAGTGTCGCTCTTTCAGCTAAAGTCAAGATTTAGAGTCTCTATACTCAAGTTATCGATTACTAAATTTGTTGATTATATTTCAATAATCGATTAATCCAAATAACTTTTCAGCCCTAATGGAGAGCAGTCCTCTGCCACACTAAGGTAGTGATGGTGGTGATGATGATGATGATGATGATAGTGACTCTGTGACCCAAAAGCCTCTGTTCCATTTCACCTACAACAGGATGACGTCTGTTGTATCTGAATTATTTATCATTTTATAAAAATTATTTTAATTAAACTATTCCAAAAAGAGGATAAGAAAAAAGAAAATTCCCAAAATATATAAAAACGCAATTCAGTACATAAGAAACTTATTAAAATCTCACTTCACCTTTTGGCTCTACAAGCCACAAAAAAAAAAAAAAAAATGTTAAAAGGAAAGTGCTGCATTAGGAAGGCATGCTATTAGAAAATTATTATACCACAACAATAATTTAATATATTTTTTTCCGTAGTAATTCTCTCAATGTGAAGCAACACTGTCCTTCAGAACCTTAGAAGCTGTTTAATTCCTTATAACTTAAATATAAAAACCGACAAATACGGCGTTCCACACTATTGCTTGTGAACTTACCGTAACACACACACACACATACATATATATATATATATATATGAAAAGTTAAGTGGAAGGAAAAAATGGTGCACATGCAACAAGGTGACCCTAAGCTGAAAGCATTGTGGGTATTGCTGTGGTGGAGCAGGATATCAATAGCCAACACAAGCAAGGACATGGAAAACAACTTTTGGTGTCATTTTAAAAGACATTTAGCCTCGATACAGAACAATTGTGGAGAGTTTGCACTTTAAATTATCTCAGGAAAGTTTTTGTTTGACATTTTTATTTAAGTGGTCTTTGTGTAATCTTAATATTATCATGTCTGGCTCATAAACAGTTAAATCAATCTACAGAATGATGAGGAGGTTTTTCAGGTTAAAATCTTTATTGACAAGTTTTAACTTGAATGATCAATGAACCGATGTTATGGAAAGGCTACTGTTGTTACAGTTAACCTTAACTGTGTTTTTGTTTTACACACATTTATGCAGCTCTGCAGACCTTATCTGACTCCTTTCATTCAGTTCATTTCAATATTGGGTTGAACTTTGTTATTTTTTGTTTTTACTTTACCTGCTTCACTCCTTTCTGAAAGTCTGCAGAGTTTATGTCCACCTCAAAGTAAAGATCGATCAGCAGCGTTATGATTTTGCAGCGGATCCAGGTGAGCGGGTCTGGGATGCCGATCACAGAGATGTGGGGCCCGGGACCTGGGCCCCCCGGCGGCCCCTCGGCTCCAGCCTGGGAGCTGAACAGTCTGCATTTCTCTCCAGCAAACAGGACGCTCCGCCTGGAGCTTATCTGTCCGGATGCTGCGATAGAAGGCCGGGCACACAGAGCGCTCCACTGTCCCCTCCGGTGTAGATCCACAGCCGGCTGCCTGCAGCAGATCGAGCCGCGGCTTCCGCTCCGGACTCCGGAGGCAGCGAAGCCGCGGAGCTCCGGGCGAACAGCGAGGCCGCTGATCCGCTGCATGAGGGCGGGGAGGCGGCCAGCGACAGGACCGAGCACCGGCTCACACACCACATCCACCGCTCCAGCAGACCAACCTTATGCAAGTCACCCCATGTTCTACCCACAATGCATTTAGTCAACGTGACGTAAGCTCAGCCCGGCTGCTGCGTTTAAGTACCGTAGGAAACTCTGCAACTACAACAATCTGTAACCGTTTGCTCCCTCCTTCAAGACATCAGGGTATGTGTAACATCTAATCACGTTATATCAACTCAGAATATAGACTTAAAATATATAGATTCGTAAAATTTATACAAAATGTATCAAGAACCCCACTTTTGTTCCAACTTTAAATATTTCCAATCACTCAGATGATTTACAACAGGTTTACATGCTTAGAAAATCTTTACTCAGCATTTTGGAGGCTTGCTGTATTTAAACCTCTGACATTTACTTGGCTTCATCCTGGCTGTTAAAGTGACAGTGACCATAGGTATCTATCAGAAACATCCCAGCAGCTTTTAAAGGGATATGGGAAGAAAAAAAAATCCTCAGTAGAGTTTGAAATCTGTTAATCTATTGTACACAAAATATTTGATTAGTTAAGGTCAGCAATGTCCTCCTATCATGCAGAGAAGCTCCACACAAGTTGAGCACAAAAGCAAAGTGCAATGTGCTACAAAGAAGTTTCTAAAATACCTTTCAGGGAAGGTTGCAAGGAGGAAAAGTTCAAAAAACTGACTGGAGTTTGTTAGACAGAACGTAAACAAAAACCAGGATTTGGCAATATAGGCCCAAAACTAAATGAATGGTAAACCAAGTGTTCTGGGAAAAAAAAGAAATAAAATCTCCTACTTATATATAGCAGGTTTGAATGTCTTGGTTTGGGGATACTCTGCTGCAACAGTACCTGGCCGGCTCACCACTATTGAATTAGAAAAATGAAAGCAGAAACTGAAACAGACCATGTAGCTACTGGGCCAACGAACACAAGAGCAAATCCATCAACACTAGTAGAGGAATGAAGAAACACAAATAAGTGGGCAGACTCAAGGATTAGATCTTCTAATCATATTAGATTTTTTTAAATTGGGTTCCACTAAAAACTAAAACATTTTACACCTAAAAATAAACTTTTGGAGAAACTTTTTTCACAATATCCCTGAAAAACTTGCATGAAAATATTTTACTCTTGCTATTCTTTTCATGTATTGATAAGTCAAGTAAAAATAGTCATATAGTGCTAAAAATGAGCACACCTACATTAAGTGAAACTTTCGTGAACTTAAACATGATTAATTTGCCATCATTTAGCATATTTATTGGTAGCTCCTTCTACGTCTTATCATTATGGAAGAGAATTAGGACTGATTTTTAAATATTATTTTAGTTTAATGTGTGGTGAAAAAGCAGAATTCTGACTTTAATCTCAGAATTCTGTCTTTAATCTGAGATTAGAGTCAGAACTCTGAGGAAAAAAGTCAGAATTCTGAGATTAACGTCAGGATTCTGACTTTTTTCCAATATTAAACTGAAATAAAATTCATTAATCAGTTTTTTTTTTTTTTTTCAGTGGCCCTAATCCTCTTCTGTATATCAAAGCTACTCTTTTTATTGTAGGTATAAAAAAAATCAGGTTGTATGTTCAATGAGCTCCCCAAGTTTTGTTTCAATTGATCACTAAAACTGCGTTTACTAATTTAGTCAAGTAAATACATACACATCTCTATAGGAGCATTTAAAAGAACACAATTTTATAAACTCAAACATTTTTTTTTTCTCCAGGAAACTTCGAAAGTTATTATTCATCGTTATTATTTGCTCATGTTGAAACTTGGACTAAACAAAAGTGTTTTACCAGAAGTGTCCAGTAGATGGAGACAAATACCAACTCATTGGTCCCACCTGATCTCAGTAAAGTGCTTAAAAGTTTGTCTGTAGTGGAATACTTCATTTAAAACAGTCTCAGCTTTAAACATACACTATATTGCCAAAAGTATTTGCTCACCCATCCAAATTATTGGAATCAGGTGTTCCAATCACTTCCATGGCCACAGGTGTATAAATTCAAGCACCTAGGCATGCAGACTGTTTTTACAAACATTTGTGAAAGAATGGGTCGCTCTCAGGAGCTCAGTGAATTCCAGCGTGGAACTGTGATAGGATGCCACCTGTGCAACAAATCCAGTCGTGAAATTTCCTCGCTCCTAAATATTCCACAGTCAACTGTCAGCTGTATTATAAGAAAATGGAAGTGTTTGGGAACGACAGCAACTCAGCCACGAAGAGGTAGGCCACGTAAACCGACGGAGCGGGGTCAGCGGATGCTGACGCGCATAGTGCGAAGAGGTCGCCAACTTTCTGCAGAGTCAATCACTACAGACCTCCAAACTTCATGTGGCCTTCAGATTAGCTCAAGAACAGTGCGCAGAGAGCTTCATGGAATGGGTTTCCATGGTCGAGCAGCTGCATCCAAGCCATACATCACCAAGTGCAATGCAAAGCGTCGGATGCGGTGGTGTAAAGCACGCCGCCACTGGACTCTAGAGCAGTGGAGACGCGTTCTCTGGAGTGACGAATCGCGCTTCTCCATCTGGCAATCTGATGGACGGGTCTGGGTTTGGCGGTTGCCAGGAGAACGGTACTTGTCTGACTGCATTGTGCCAAGTGTAAAGTTTGGTGGAGGGGGGATTATGGTGTGAGGTTGTTTTTCAGGAGCTGGGCTTGGCCCCTTAGTTCCAGTGAAAGGAACTCTGAATGCTTCAGCATACCAAGACATTTTGGACAATTCCATGCTCCCAACTTTGTGGGAACAGTTTGGAGCTGGCCCCTTCCTCTTCCAACATGACTGTGCACCAGTGCACAAAGCAAGGTCCATAAAGACATGGATGACAGAGTCTGGTGTGGATGAACTTGACTGGCCTGCACAGAGTCCTGACCTCAACCCGATAGAACACCTTTGGGATGAATTAGAGCGGAGACTGAGAGCCAGGCCTTCTCGTCCAACATCAGTGTGCGACCTCACAAATGCGCTTCTGGAAGAATGGTCAAAAATTCCCATAAACACACTCCTAAACCTTGTGGACAGCCTTCCCAGAAGAGTTGAAGCTGTTCTAGCTGCAAAGGGTGGACCGACGTCATATTGAACCCTATGGATTAGGAACGGGATGTCACTTAAGCTCATATGTGAGTCAAGGCAGGTGAGCAAATACTTTTGGCAATATAGTGTAATTGAACGCGACCAGAAGCTTCTTTGGATCCGCGGCTTTCATTTTCTTAAAGCCAGATTGAGATAATTTAAAGATAAAACCCGATTACATGAAAGGGACCACCCAATGTGACCTGCGCGCGCTCATCCATCAGCGACGGTACCCGCAGCACGCGGGTATTTTAAACACATTTGAGTCAGAGTACGTATAAGGATGAGAATAACGTCACAATAACTATTTATTGTTAGTATAAAAAGCCTTTCATGGTTAGTAGTATATTTTAAGGTTGAAGAGCAATGACACATTTTTCTACTTTAGTTTTTCGTTTGCTGAGAGTTTATCCACTCTGTTATTTTAGATTAACTAACCTAGACAAAAAGGACTAGTTTGGCATTTAGTCTCTTATTGTATCATTGTATCATTTAAAATCAGACAGGTAAAAATATGCAGGATTATTTTCTAACCGCCTGCCCTGGACATTTGCTTTGCTTCCTTAAACATCCTCCTCATTTCCAATAAAGATAAACTTAGGTCCTAATTTGACTTTGTTATAGTTTCCCTATGTTAAACTTTAGTTATTGTTTGATATGTTAATGTTTATATATATTTTTCCTTTTAGTTTTCCAACACCAAAGAAGAATCTCTAGAAATTTATTTAAATGTCATTAAATAAATGTTTCACATTTTTAATAGTAGCCAGAATCGTGCCTATGTGAAAAATTATACAAACAGGAAACAATACATTACTGTAAATTCATTTATTCCGTTATGAAGTGAAAAAGCAAAAAAACAAAACAGAAAAAAAAACAGTAAGTTTCATATATTTGTTGTTTGAGATTAAGGTGATTGTTTTGCAAAAACAGTGTTTTAACCCTCTAAATAAATACTGTTAAATTTAATGTTGACGTTTCTAACTTATTCTGCGTGATAAGCTCATGCGGGTCTACTTTTTCCTGGGTTTTTTTAGTGAGCGTCCAGGATGTTCATTTCTCTGCTCTGCCGCTAAACGGCGCTGTTCTCCACGTTAAGCCACGTTGGTGGCTGAGGTCTGTAGAGTTTAAACCCCCAGAGAGAGAAGCAAGTCGCTTCAGACTCGGAGTCTCGGTCTGTTCAGCAGTCTGACAGCTTCATCAGTGACAGATGAGGTTCTTCACAAGCATTCCCACATTTAAACATCTCAGAATCTTATTTGTATTTTTTTTGGTTGGGATGGGATCTGCCTGAAAGTTCCTCAAAATCAATATAAACGTTTATTTTTATTTCATTTTTTTGTTGTTGTTTTACAACACATTAGATTGAATATAAAAATAAACAATAAAAAAGAGAATTCCTAAATATTGTTAGATAAAAAAAGTTTTGGTGTTTGTGTTTTTCAAAGTGTACAGCAATAAAAAAAATCTGCAAAAATGACATAGATAAAGAAAAAAAAAAAAAAAATACAAAATGCTTCCATTAATTTAAATATCAAGTATACAAAATTGCACTTTACCAAAAAGGCCACAAATGTATCTATTATAAAGATTTTTCCTTATTTTATTATTATTTGTAAAAGATGAAAATAATCATAAAACATTGATTGATAGAACATCTTCCATAATATTCCATAGAGAGCAGATTTAACTTGATTTTCTAGTTATGAGGTTCTTAGAAGATTGTTGAGCTGCCAATGGTTGCATCTTTTTAAATCAGAAAATATGTTGTTTTTGTAAATTCACATTTCGTCTGGGCTACAGGTATTGGTTTTTGTGAGAGCTGGCACAGAGCCCCACAAAATAGCAGGCACAGGTGTTGCCCATGAAAAAAAAATTGTGAAAGAAAGAAAAGAATATGATTTAAATTATGGTTCTAGATGAATCTGGTATTTTTCGTACTGGCAAAACATTTTAACAGATTAGCATAGTTTGTAGGAAAATCATATATATATGTT